GTTTTCTCAAAATCACATAAAGTCATATTATAACATCGACTGAGATAAAAAATAAAATAAAATATTAAAATCATGATGTATCTCGCTGCATTGCGCGAGTACACTTCTAGTATAAATTAAATGGCAGTGGAGAAGAGAAAAAGATGACATACCAACATATTGTTGAAGGGTGACAAGAGATTTTCCGTTATAATTAATTAATATTTTATTTATAATTAATAGTGATCAATAATAATTAATATTAATGAGAGTTATAATTGAAAAAAGTGATAAAAAAACTTTTCATAAGTTACTCCAACTAACGTTTCAATAATTTTTTGTTCATCTAAACATGTATCCATAAAATAAGAAAATGTCTTAGATACATGAAAAGAATACCATGCCCTTGAAACCAATGGTTTTATATTAAAAAATGAACTTTTAAATATTTAATTTGATATTAAAATTGATACATTTTCTTTTTTAAAATTTTATGATACTTTTAAATTTATATTTTATTCAGAAAATAAAAACATTATCTTTTTCAATATTACATAAGATCTTATTATAACATTGATGGAGACAGAATAAAGCGAAACATTAAAATAAAGTTGCATTGTACAAATAAACTTCTAGTATATATGTGTATATATATATATATATAGGTGTAAATTACGTTTTTTGTCCCTATGGTTTGTTAAAAATTATAGATTTTGTTCTATGGTTTCAAAGTCAGGGCTTTCATCCTTATGGTTTGTAATTCATTTTATTTTTGTCCTCGAGGCTAAAACACTATTTTTAAGTATGAATGACCAAAATAAAAATGCATTATAAACCATAGAGACAACATAAACAATAAATTTTAAATTATAAGGAGAAAAAAAGATGATGAATTAATGAAAATTAAAATTTCAAAACGAGAAGAAAAGAAATAGAAATTTTCAACAAACCACGGGGATTAGAAACACAATTTACTCTATATATTAATATAATATCGATATAAATTAGAGTAAATTATAACTTGGCCTCTTTGGCTTAAACAAAAATACATAACTTGTCCTAGGAAAAGTAAAAAGACGAAAATACGTCTAACTTAACAAAAATAATTTAACAAAGTTAAGTCGAGTAACCATTTTCAACGCAAAATGTAAATAATAGGGACGATAGTTGTAGTTATCGAAGTTTTGGGGACCATTTTCGAGTATTCATGTAAACCACAAGGACCAAAATTGTAGTTTACTCAAGTATAAAAGAATCGAGGTGTATTTGCCGCGCAAAATGATTTATTAGCTCCGGGAAAAATAAATTTTCAACCTGGAGTCGGTGTTTTCCCGTCGGAATGTTGTCAGAGACTCCGAGAGCCGCATACACTTTGCAGGTTTCCGTTTCATCTTCTCCGCCACCTGAGTTATTCGTTTCTCAGGCAAGTATATACATATTTCTTCTACTTCCGAGCTGTTACAGTTGTTGCGTTTCTCGTCGTTTGATACGATTATAGATTTAGGGTTTCTTGGGTTATCTTTGTATGCAAATGGAAGATTCCAATCTCAGATGGAACCAAAAATACTGGATCGAATGCCTAATATTGGAGACCGAACCCTTCCATGCAATTTTCGAACTGATTATTTCGATTTAGAAATCAGTATAAGATGATACTAGAATGGTTATATATACCTAAATGACTTTAGTCGGGGTCATGGGTTAACACATGGGGTTCCATCTCGACTAATTCTATTGGCTAGGGTTTCACATGGATCGGGTTCACCGAGTCGAAAGTATTTGAACAGGGTTGGATTCTGATGACATGGAAAGTTAATCCGAGAAGTGTATGAAGGAGAGTTAATTAGAAAAGCGGAAGGGACCCCTACCTTTGATGCCTATTAGGACTGGCGATCAACGGTTCACGCCTCTATTCTTAACTTTCTTTCTCATACGATCCTTCGACTATTTGTAGGGCGGAGCCAGGATTTGGGTCTAGGGGAGCATTAATATATATAGTTGGAGGATCAAATATAAAGGCTAAATATCGTGAGAAGATAAGAAGGTTGGGTCAGGTACACTGACCCATGTTTGGCGCAACATGGGATAGAACAAGAGTTCACCGTCCCACGTTTGACGTGACATGAAACAATAATTGGGACAAAAACTGGGACAACATGGGACAAAAAAGTTTTTCTTGAGACAAGAATGAAATAAAAACTAAAATATTATTGATCTATCCTAGTTTGATATATACATTAATATGATATTTGTTTTAATAGTCATCACTGCTAATTTGGTCGCGACGGTCATCACCACCTACACCTCCTCTTCTACAACAACATCCTCCGTCACCTCCACAACCGCCGTCCACCATCATCCATCGCCACCTCTACCATAGCCGACCACCACTGTCCATTGCCACCACCACTACCGTCGTTCGCCACCTCCAACTCCTCCTATACTACAACAACCTCTTTCACCACGTCCACAACCACCGTCGACCATCAACTACTATCGTCCATTGCCACCTTTACAACCATCATCGGTCATCGACCACCACCACTCATTACCACCAACACTACCACCGTTGGCCACCTCCGTCTCCTCTTATACCGCAACAACCACTTCCATGGCCTCCACAACCACCACTGTCCATTGCCACCTCTACAACCACCATCGACTACTGACCACCACCATTCATTGCCACCACCACCATCACCGTTGGCCACCTCCAACTCCTCATCTACTGCAACAACCTCCTCCACAACTACCATCGACCACCACCGTTTATTGCCACCTCACCACCACTATCTTCACTACATCAGTCACAAGTACCTCGTCCACCATTGTCAACCACCACCACCTCCACCATTACTACTACCATCAATTATATCAAAATTTTCATCCAAATTTGATACCATTATATATGTATGTATTCATTTATATGAAAATTGTGTAAAAATATTTATAAATTAAATTCTTTAATTATTTATTTTATTTGTGTTGATTATAACTGTTATATAATATTTAAAATCATCAAATAACTTTTGAGGGTAACTTGTCTAGTTCTGTCATGTCAAATCCTAGTCGTACCAAACACCAAACATACACTTGTGTTGTCCAGTCCTACCCTCTTTGTCATGTCCTTCCAATCATGTCTGCGTACCAAACGCTACTGAAAGGAACATTAAGGAAAGGTTCATATGCGAATTATTAAAAAAAATTCAAGTGAAGATGCATATGTGAACCTATATTGATAAACTGTGACGTCGATTCACATATGAATTTTCAAATAGAATTTTTTTCCAGGATTTTAAAATTTGTTTGTTCTATCACTAAGGGGGTCGTTTACCAAACGCTTTTATCAGGTAGGTGGTAGGGTATCCTGGTGTCACTTACCTTTCGGATAAGAATGGCAAGGACCTCGAAACTTACCCGATAAATGACGTAACAATGACCAAGAATCTTATCCAGTAAGAATTTATCGAATAAAATATGTTTTATTGAAAACCTATTTTGATGGGCGAATCCTTAAATCGAAGCCAGAAAATCCTAAATTCTTAAGAAATTCGAACAAAAATGATCAAGCCATCGTGATACAAAGTTGTGAATTTGGAGTTTTCTTAGTGGTTTGTTTTAAGGAGGGTCCATTAAAACATTTTATGGGGTTGTTTTTAGTTTTCATAGGGGCTTTATAAATCCAAAAAAAAAATCGAAACCCAGAGGGATCACAGGTTTCTTCGGTTACGTTTGGTACATGGGACAGGACGAGACGGGACAAAACTCGTTGTCCCACGTTTGGTGCGATATGGGACAAGGACAAGAACTGCGACAAGATGGGACAAAAAAGGTTTTTTCTTGTTCCACCAAAATAGGTGGAATAAGATGAGACAAGAATGAAAGAAACTAAAATATGACTAACCCACCCTCGTTTGATATATAAATGTAACATGGTATTTGTTTTAGTGGTCACCACCGTAAGTCATTGTCGGCGACCTCCCCCTCCACAACCACCATCGACCATCGACCATCGGCTACCACCTTCAGCCACCTACCACCACCGTCCATCGCCACTACCATCGTTGGCCACCTCTACCTTCTCTTCTACTACAACCACCACCTCCACAACCATCGTCGTCTATTGACCACCATTGTCAACACCACTACTATCGTTGGCCACCTCCACCTTCTCTTCTACTGCAACTTTCTCCACCACCTCCACAACCATCGTCAGCCACCGGCCAACACCTTTCATCGCCACCACCATGGGCCACCTCACCTCCACTATCGGCTACCACTAACACTGTCGACCACCACTATCGGCTACCACTACTGCTGTCTACCATATTCATGTTCTCCACAACCACAACCACAACCGTCCATCTCCACCACCACCATAATTACCACGATTGCCCACTATCACACCTACTTTCACCACATAGGCCACAACTACCTCCTCCACCAACCACAAGGGTGGTGCCTGATTGGTTTGAGCTTGGCTCCAAAGATCAAAAGTATCAGGAGGTCACAGGTTCAAATCCAAGGAGAAATAAAAATCCTCGTGTAGCTACGGAGGTTCAAATGCGATGACTCCGGGATATCTGCAAAGCAGGTGGTCGCCCTGGAATTAGTCGGCTCGCATAGCGGGTTGGATATCCAGGTTAATCAAAAAAAAAAAAACTACCTCCTCCACCATTGTTGACCGCCACCACCCCTACTATCCACCATCTTCACATCCTCCACAACCACTATCATCCACCAATTACCAATGCTTCTAGTTCTATCTATACAACCATTCTTAATATTCTTATATTAATGAATTATTTAATTTTTTTAAAATTAATTTAATATATTTATTAAATGATATGTAAAGTGATTTAAAAAAAAAATACAATGTTGTAACAAAAATGTCATTTTAGCAATATGTTACATATACACACTCCACATGGCATGGAAATCTGGTAATCTATATCATGTCATCTTAATTTAAATCAAAATGTTATTTATTTATGGTTATCACACGACCTTAATGGTCGTATTATCGACCCTCAATGATAAGAAAATCAAAATTGTAATTATTGTATCCAAATACTTAAAACCATTTATTGTGTACCATGCATTTGTACATTTTTGGGTGAATTTGATCCGAATTAGCTCGTGAGATCAGGTTGTTGCTTTGGCTTTCGTTTTTTGTTTATCTTTTTCTTTGAAATATATAATATTTGTATATGACAAATGAACTTACGCACTCCTTATTTTTTATGACGTTTGAATCTATGACCTCTAGAAAAACTAGGAAGGTTGGAATCTACAGATAATCCGGATACAACAAGAACAGAGGCATTTTGGTATTGCAGTCAAAATCTTCGGATTCAGAACAATCAATATGGCTTCAAATGTTGCTTCTTTTCCTGCTTTGCTGTACTTCTATCGGCCGCCAGAGTTTGACAAAAGCTCCCAAGACCAAATGATTACGCTCCTAATGTGCCTGACACGATTTCTAAAGATGTCGTTTACTGATGACCTTTACCACGACCTAATCCCGTTGATTTATCCGAAAAGTATAGGGTGGTAGTGGTTTTGCTTGGGTGGGTAGTTGCTTATCAGAAGTATCATCAAAGCACTTTCAACAAAAAGACTTGTTTTTACGATCATACCAGTTACATCATTTTCCTTACGACAACTTAGTTGACCAAGGGACCAATCTAACTGAAGACGACGACCGAACATCTACCAAAGAAACATTCTTATTTCACTTACCAAAGGGTAGAGAGGTTATTTCCAAGTCCTTAGCCAAAACATCTACAGCTAAACATGTTTAAACCAATTATCGTTAAAACATCACACACTCACCCAATCAAATGAAACTAGGAACGAGAAGCGGACTAGCGTTGGTAACGAACTTGTTGTATAAAACATTGTAGTTTTCTCTCTTTTGAGTAATAACCAAGTTACAGAAAGAATTGGATTCGAGGGTAGGGTAAAAAAGATGAAATTTATCATCCCTCGCGTATATTCAACCCTAAAAAATAAGAACGGATTTATCATGTATAAGATAAGAAGAAAGAATCAAGGTTTTCAATTGTGTTTGCAAGAAGAAAGCACACAGTCGTTGAGAAACTGTGAGAGCTGAGAAGTGTACAACTCGGGTTCATGCCTAAAATGGTCAACATGTGGTGTCGATTTGAAGTTGCATGACCTGACCACACGTCCTGTTTTCTGCTGTGCCTCGATGAAAGACTCCACCGATCCTGCAGGGATGACTCTGTCCGCGCTGCTATAAATGTATAGCTGCGGACAGCTTGGTTGTCCGGATTTCAGCTGTAGTAGCACATTTGAGAGCCTCCTGGAAAACATTGAGCATTGTTATTTGGTGTATTCTGCGTGCTTTTAGTTAGCTAGGGGATCTTTGCATTCTTTTATAATCGCATCTTTAAGAAAAAACCGTATTTTCCCTAATCCGTGGCCTTCTGGTGTGCTTTCTTTTTGTTTTACTTTACCCTTTTTGCAACCCAGGGGACTTCTGGGAAAAATCTCTCTTAAGACGGGTTCTTGGCTAAATGACCTTCTATCAAGTTTTTTTTTTTTTTTAAATATATCACCTTCTGACAGGTTTGAGTATGCCCGTGCTTAACAGAAGAATGTCAGTTCCATACACAAAATGCTTAGAAACTTGTTAGAAGGTCATGGATTTAAAGAACATTTAGAGAACACTTGTCAGAAGGTCATTTAGCTAAATAACCCTCTTGAGAAAAAGTAACGTCTCCTTACATCCTACCCCCGACCCTTGGGAGGGAAATACTGGGTTCTTGGTTTGGTTTGGTTTTTTTTACTGTCATGAATGCAAGATGGGTGTCAAGAATCGCAACATAATTCTTGTTTATCACGTGTTTAACATAGAGATGAATAGATACTAAATTCAGTAGACTTACTGGTTAACTGTGGGTAGATTTAGGATCACGTCAAAGAACTTCTCCAGAACCACTAACAGAGCCACTTCGCTCATTGCTGGTTTGGCAGCGATGTTGTCTGCATTTCTGTATCCTTTTGCTGCAATACTGTTCTTCTTCAAAAAAGCAGCTGAGAAACCCGAAGCCCAGACCTGGAAGGCAAGTTTAAAGAAGTTTGGTCCATACATCAACATAAAAGAATACTCGAACCCCTTTTTGTTTGAATAACTTTGTAACAAACCAAACCAAACCAAAAAAACCCCTGTAAATCCCACATAGAAGTAGGGTAGGGAAGATTGGATGTATGCAGTCCTTTCCTCTACCCGTAAGGGTAAAGAGACTCTTTTTGTGAAAACCCTCGTCTTGCAACAAGAGAAAAACTAACGACCATACCTGTGGGTCTGGGGTATCAACGGGTGCAGAATCCACAATACAGCCCTTGATCTTCCCCATTAGATTATGGTCTTGTCTCTGAAACTTCTCCAAGATAGCTCCATATCTGAGAAGAAAACAAGCACAACCATTGTAACATACGGCCCGAAAAAGAAAATCTTTAGATAAACAAAAACATAATCATATGAGATGAAAAGGGCTTACATTAGCCATCCTGTGTTGCTAAATGTGTGAAAAACCAAATTCTTTCCGTACTCTTCTTCCAACCATTCGGCAAGATGGTTGACAAGCAAATCCACATGCTGTTCGGCTTTCCCTCCAACCTGATAACTGAGAATCTCAGCCATGGGAAACGTAAACGTAATCACATGAAACCCTTTGGAGGTATACCAATCAGCATATTTCTTAAGATGCTTCTGCTTAGCACCTAACCATCCAAGCAAAACCACTACCATCTTAGAATTTTCGGATAAATCAACGGCATTAGGGTGTGGTAAATGCCATCTGTAAACGACATCTTTAGAAATCGAGTTAGGTACATTAGGAGCGTATTTGATTGGTCTGGGAGCTTTTGCCAACTCTGCTGACCTATACAAGTTGAGCAAAGCAGGAAAAGCTGCAAGATTTGAAGCTATGTTGTCAGAAGGACGATTGTCTCCTACATGAACTGCCGGATATCTGAAGTTGGAAACTGGTATTGGACTTTTTGTCACAGAAGACAAGTTACATAGCTTAGCAACACTAATATCAGAGATTCGTGCCCATTTTGTTTCACTAATCAATTCCGAGGTACAGCCACTTGATTGTTCTGATGAAAGAGATGAGTCCGACGGTTTTGATGGCCAGAATTTGTCACGAAGATCAGCAGAAACAGAAGCTAATGCAACCGCAGAGGCTGCAACAACGGGTCTTTGAAAAAGACCAGACAACGAACCCATAATCTTGGAAACAGCAATGGCCAATATCTGGTACATAAAGAAGAAGTCCCAGAATAGTTTGCATAAGACAAAGACGTGTTTGTTCAAAGAAAAACGCAGAATAGAAAGTCAAACAAAAACGTGTTCTGTTCAAAAATTGACTGCTTAATTGACATAACTTCTTACCTGTAGTAGGTCTTTGTAGAAGAATTGCTTTGGGCTGCCAATAAACGTGCGTATTGACAGCCCACGCGAAGCCTTTATATATACAGAGTCAGCCAAGCCAAACCAAGCTTTTCTTCCTATCTACAATAAATTATTCTTGAGAAGCATTAGATCGACGCAAAGTTCTTAAAAAGCAAACTTGCAATGCCCAAGTGGAAAAGAATTTGATGAGGCTAGATTATTCAACCGTAAAGGGGTCCAAGTATACTTGATTCGGAGGACCAATTTCCTAGGGGGTAGAAGACCATTGTAGAGCCACTAATATTGTTGACCTCAAGAAAGCATAAAAGAATCCCAGAAGAAGATACCGTATACATAAGATAGAATGGGACAAGGAATGGGCACATGATGGATAGAAATACTTCTGGAGAAGTCTACTTAACAACCCCAAATATGCACGTTTGTCCAAACCAAACCAAACCAAGCCAACAGTGTAAATCCCACTCGAAAGTAGGGTTTGAGGAGGTGTGACATGTAAGTAGACCTAACCTTTACCTTAAAGATTAAATATATAGGATTGTCTCTTTTCTCACATTTGAATCCCACAAATGCTATCAATTATATAAGAAGTGCCAAGAATGACTAAAATTTTCTTGAACACTTTTGGATGGATCTCAATAGCTAATTGAGTCAAATCACATAAAGGAAGTGCCCAAAACAATCTGATTTTGAAAGAAAAAAAAAAGGACCTTCAGTAGTCCAAGTCAAAAGCCATAGAGTTATTGCCCATGGGTCCTGCAGAATGTACTGGGACAGAATCAAAGAATGAAAATGTTTGGGTCCAATTGCAATTATCACAAAGATGAGGGTGTAATTATAAATGCAAACAATTTGATAATTGGCCCACCGCCCATCCTCTAGGAATTAAACCTGATATATAAATTTTATAAACACTCTCCCTTCCGAAAAGATTCTTCAAAGGATTATTATGCCTTACTTATTCTTTTTACCAAAATGATGTCTTTCTTGATGGACTTCTTTTTTTTTCTTGGATTTTTGCAAAGGAAAAGGACGTTTGGATACAAATTTTTTGACAGAAAGCATCATGTGATAAAAGGGTGCACTCTATCTGTTTGATAAATACACCTTATTCTTAAACATCGGTCAATATCAAATCCCTATTTTTGATATTTTTATTACATGACTTGATCTGATTTTGACAAGATGTTGCTATTTAAACCTATTTGAGTCAAATTGAATAATTGTAATTGTAAAAATTGAACGAAAACGGTTCAAATAGCAAGCAGAGGATTCTTATAGAATCACTCATTTCAAAGCTATAAAGAATATTCAAAACTTCAAATATTGATGTTTGACGCGTGAATTAACGTTTCAACACAAAAGACTCAACTGCACCAACCCAAAAAGGTAGGAACGAGAAAGGGGGAAACTAGAGGGAGGACAATAGCTGTAAACAGCATAACGAAACGTGATTCCATTACGTTACGCTTTAATCGTATTGTACGGTACAACACCAAGATGATTGATCTCGTATTCATCGTTCGAGTTCGTAAAAACGGAAGGGTTTGGTATACAATGCAGGTTTCCAATCCAGCGTTTTTGGTTGAATTTCAGATTGAAATCCTCAATACACATACAAATACCCATGAAACCCTAAATGGATTAAAACATACAACCGATTGCAATCGTATCAAACAACGGCAAACCAAACAACAAAAACAGGATGAATGAAAATATGAAAACTTACCTGATAAATGAACAACTCCGGCGGCACAAACTTCAGAAGAAGAAGAAGCCGGCAAAGTATATGCCGGTGCCGGACGGAATCAACGTAATCACCAATATATATTGAGTTCCTGAATAATAGGGCGCCGAGCCTTTGACGACCTTCCGATCGAAAATCGCTAACTCCAGGCGCAAATTTATTGTTCCCAGAGCTAAATTATATCGTCTGACATATCTACCCTCCATCCTTCAACTCTGTATTTATAGCAGTTCATAATAACTTTCCATTTTAAAATTATTAAGTTTCTAAATTATTTTTTTAAATTATAATTTTTATTTTCATTTTAAATAATTAAACAGCGCTTATTTGGTAAGCGTTTACCAGTAAAATTCAACATTATCACTTACATTACCTAACAAGACTTTAGTTCATCAAAACGACATTATATGTAAAAATCTATCCGGTAAGCGCTAACCGAGTAAGAGCCGTCACTTTCACATACCGGATAAAACTCTTGGTCATTGCTTTTACTTTTACCGGGTAAGATTCTTGGTTCTTATCATAGTCATTCAATAATGTAATATGACTTGATAAATGCTTATACGGGTAAGCGTTTAGTAAACGACCCCTAAGTCATTAAATTATTATTTTAAATAAAAATCATTAATTTTTTTATTTTTTAAGTAATTAAATTCTTGAAATTAGTTGGCTCACATAACAAATTAGATATTTACGATAATAAAAAGAAATTCAAAATAAATAAAATGTAATTGTAACGTTTAAAATCGAAATAGAAACTATGGTCATCCACCTCATGCCGACCAAATAAAAGATAACGTTTCCACCTTTTTTCTTTTGTAACGTATTTTATTAAAAATAAAGGTAGATTCGTAACGGTATTTAATTGTGACTCCGGATTATCAGCAAAGCAGGTGGTCGTTTTGGGATTAGTCTGCTCATATAGCGGATTGGATATTCAGGTTAATAAAAAAAATTGTATTATCATTGTATTGGTCTTGACTTTTTATGTACCAACTGATTATTATTGACTTGTAAAATCTTATATTGTGTATCAAAATAATTGTATCCGTATTAACTTTTTTGGATTAGAATATGTTGGTATTGATTTTATATCAACTTTAAGTTACATATTTTATCTGTCTTAAAGTAAATGTTTACGATGAAAATGTCACACGGTTTAGAAATATGTAATTATTATACTTCTTAATTAACTAAATGACAATTTTTGCTCTTAATGATGGATCGAGAGATTAAGGAATTTCTCCATCTCATAATTAAGAGTAAAATTAGAGCATCTCTAACAGCTATGTTAAAATGAAGAAAATATGGATTTTAGCAAGTTTTTATTCTAACAACTATGTTATCTTGTATGTTAAAATAGAGAAAAGTTAACTGAGATTGGTAAAATCTCTAAATTTAGAGAATCTTTAAATGAAAGAGAGAAACTATTATTTTTATATCTCCCACCAATAAAAGTTACTACAAATAAATGTTTAACAGAGAGAAAATAATATTTTATTAAATATATTGAATATTTTAATAATATATTTAGTGTTAGATTTATTAAAATAGAGTAACGGTTTTTAGAGATTTTGACTTTTAATATTTTATTTTAGAGAAAATTTGAAAGTGAACATTTATTATGAAACAAACTATAAAACAAATAAATTAAGTTGGTAAGATGCAAAGCTGGTGCCTGATTGGTTTGAGTTTGGGATCCAAATATCAAAAGTGTCTGGAGGTCCCAGGTTCAAATCCAATGGGAAATAAAAATTCTTTTGTGGTCACGGAGGTTCAAATGTGTTGATTCCGGACTACCCGCAAAACAGGTGGTCGCTCTAGAATTAGTCAGCTCGTATAGCGGTTGGAAATCCAGGTTAGTAAAAAAACAATAACATTATGTCATCTGTGTAGTGTCAACAATTTTAATCGTCAAGTTCCAACATTGATCACCATGGGCTGTTTTTATTGTTGTGTAGGAGGTCAGATGTTATTCAGCGGTAAGACAAGTGACACCCGGTATGGGTATGGTAAACTGCCCCTCAGTAAACAACCATTTTCAGCCATCGCTTACTCATACCGCACTCTTACACAGTTAACACGTACCCGATAGGTGTTGATAAACGACCCTTATATCGCAAGAAAGAAAGCTAAATGGATGAAGATGCAAGCAATTCCAGCAAAGTGAACCTTAATATGTCCCAAATTGATGTAAATAAACCAAAATACACATATCATTCCAGCAAAATGCTTGTACAAATGGAACAATCAAAGATTGGAGTCGCATTACATGTATTCATCGAGGGAATCGTACCTTTCGTGACAAGATCCGCATCGGAAAGAAGAATTGGCAACCAACAGATAAGAATCATCCACCAGTGAATAGGCGGTGCAGGTTCCCAATTTCATTATCGGTTCATCGGATGTTCCAGTTGAGCATAACGTCAGGCTCTATAGTGCCACGCAACTTAGCATAGTACTATGGTTGTAGAACAGTAGTAGTCGTTCACGTTTATCGGACCAGCAAGACTTAGCATCTTCATCTAGGAGTTATCCTAGAGACAGTTTATTCAACACAGGAGGTAAACAACAATTTAGCTTAATCCATACAGACAGCTTAATCCACACAAAGATTAATGAAAAAACAGTCAAACAGCCCTAGGGCACTATAAGACAAAAACAATTATTGTAACAAACGTTCAATTCTTCCTATTTTGTACCCATTGTAATTCTTGGTTACGTATTTTGATGTGGCATTTGTCCATGTAAATACGTAACCAAGAATTACAATATAACTTTACAACTTGGTATCCACGTCATCAGTAGTTGTAAGATCTACTCATCATCAGTCAAAATGGGTAGTAAATAGGAAGAACTGAACGTTTATTACGCTAATTTAGGAAAAAACAATCATCTTACACCAAATGAACAAACTTCGTTGTATTTTGATGCATTTTGGCCCTATATATAACATAACCAAGTTCGGAAAAGCTTGGCTACACAGGAATACGGGATTACAGATGGAAGCGGTCCCCGTAGTTTAGAATAATTAATTAATTACAATGAAAAAATGACGATATATAACAAGTTTGTCTCTCCGTCCCAAAATAAATTTCCACAATGAAAAAGGCACACCACTTTAGAAATGTATAATCACTAAGCTTAAAGTAAATAATATTTATATACGACAAATAAAACTCAGACACACCCCTAACCTTTTGTGACGTCAGAAACCCCTGACCACTAAGAAGGTTGGGTTACTGCCTTATCGATGCCACTATGCTAAAGGCCGTTTGGTATAATTATTAGACTTTTGAATTAATTAATTGACAATCTTACCCTTAATAATAGAGAGAGTAATGAATTTCTCCATCTCATAAGTAAGGGTAGAATTGGAAAGTGGTAACTTACTTCTGAAAGTAGACACTTATTTTGGGATGGAGGAAGTAAAACTATTATAGCTCGAGTCAAGAAGAAGATATAAATTCAAAACGACGATGAGCCTACAGTGTCTTTCTAACCTTCTTTGTATAAGTCCACAACTTGCATGTTCACTTATGGGATGACGTGTGTGACATTGGGTATGTCATGGGACCCGCATTCATCGGGGCACCTGGGACCACTTGTCCCAGTGAACGGATACCACCGTATGCCATGTGTGACGGTGGTGGAAGATTTACGGGTGTGCCTACTGCCGAAACTAGTGGTAGTCCTACTGGTTGCCCTACTGTTGTTCCTCCATACATGCTGACGGTATAGGAAGGAGGATCTGCAGTAACTTGAGCGAATTGTTTGCTTGATTTACCTGCCAGAGAACCATTTGTTTGACCCGTGATTGCAGCTTGAGGCACCGATGTGTCCCCATTGTTGACACTAGTTATGTCGTGAATGCTTGATCGCCTCCTGTCTCTATTCATTGAGTTCAAACGAATGAAATACTTCTGGGCGTGGCTTGCAACTTGAGTCGGTGTTCTCGTCACCACAAAGTTCCTAGATATACTTCGCCAATCGCCTTTCCCATATTTTTCCAAACCAAGAAGAAATAACCTGTTTTTTTTTTTTTTTTTTATAAAATGAAGTCAACGATATGAATACTTGAAGGATCCTTGGAAGAGTGCTACAAGTAGTAGTATGCAAAAGATATTTGATTCTTAGACTCAAGTTCAGGGGAAAACCGATCAGGAACACCCTAATCACCATTTACTTGCCTAGTATGGATATGTGCAAAAGTGCAAATGAACATATTTCCTGGTTTCTATGCACGTGTGCATTTTGTGTGCATACCGGACAAATTACTTTTATGCACATGTGCACACAAGGCACATGAATGGTTATTGGGGCGTTCCTCAGTTTTCCATTTTTTTGTGGTTTTCCTGTGAACCCGGCCCTTTACTATTGAACCATATATATGTTAAGTCAAATGTTAACGATATCATTTTCTTGGTATGGAGGGAGTAAAACAAATCTAAGTTCTTTAGCATGACGATCCCAATCACAAAACAAACGTTTGCAATCAAATAACTAACCTGTGTTCATCCTCGGTCCAAGCAACACCTTTCCGGCGCTCCTGATCTGACTTTGAGGCCTTACCTCCATGAGTTGATTCACTGTTATGGTGACCCAAATTACCACCTTTCTTACTGGTTCCATTTCCATCATCACCTCCATGGCTTGCAGAGTCATCAGAAGAACCACTATAGCAAGGCACCGGAACAATACCAGACTCGATACGGTTCAAATCATCAACTAACAACTCATAGTGATGCTTGATTTCTTCCACTGATTTTCCCGGAACATTGGTCGCAATATTCTCCCACCGATCCTTAGAATCCTCCTCAGGATATGCAACTAGAGCATTCTCAAAAGCCCTGTCTTGATCTCTAGTCCATATAGACTCTCTGGCACTTTCATCTGCCATCATCTAAACCAAACCAAACCAAACGAAACCAAACGGACCCAGTAAATCCCACTCAAAAGTAGGGTCTGGGAAGGGCGAGATATAGACAGACCTGACCTCTACCCAAACGGACAGATTAGCACTAGTACTAGTAAAATCTGTTTCAAGTTACTCAAACACCAAAAAGGTAATACAGAAACCTAATCAGAAACACCCTGGAATACAATCATGCCCCTTTTTATTTGGATCCTGAACTATTTCAATACCATATCACCAAAGAAAACCAAATGGGCGAGAAGAGCACCACAAAAAGATGATCACCTTAAATAACTTTGATGGTGATTACGTCCTGACAATAAGAACATTGATGACTCTTGTGAAGTGCTGATTCCCTGCAGATGGAAGAAAAAGAAACACAAAACATGAGAAGTATATGAGCATTAAATTGAAGATATTAATACAGCAATAAATAGTGCAACTACATACACTGGTGGATTCAATTCAAGTCACCTATAATCTAGGGCTTTTTTTAGATCTCATCATATTACAATGACAGAATCGATGATCACAAAAAAAAAAATCCACAATCGTAGATTGGATGGATTGTAAATCAAACTGAAATCAGTACTGAATCAAAAAGCAACTATTCATATTGAATTTAGCAAGTAGGAAGGATAACATGCCCTTGATTTTAATAGATGCGATCTTCCATTAGCAGGAAGCTGAATCAAACAGCAACTCCATGTGTGAATGAAATAAACCCTAATTAAAATTAATTGAAGTGGGTGTGGCGCTGTGTCGGTACACGAGAGATGATTGATGATGCAAGAGGGGACCCCCACATACAACTCAAGGCGTCAGCTATCATCTGGAATCTGCCATAAACGTCAATTTTGCCAATTTTCTGAGAGCTCGTGTATGGAGGTATGGGGGTTGGCGTAGAAGACTGTTTGACCAGCTTATTCCCAAAATTATGCAAGAAACCAAAGCTATGGTCATCTTCCATGGCTGAGATTAGGGAAAGTGTCAATATTTTATGATTGATTTCAGTTCAAACTCAAAATCAAACGTGATTCGTGGGATGCTTCATTACCATACGTTGATAATTCTTGAAAACACACCTTGGTTTGTTAAAGATTACGCCTTTGTTTAATTGTTCTTGCCGAGGTTTTTATCATATGTTTTATAATTTATTGTTATTTTTATTTCTTATAAAATAAAGATTTAAATAGAAGTGAATTTTAAATTATGGGTAACGAAAACAACAAAAAAAATGTAAATCATTAAAAACGAAAAACATCGATGGAGTGTAAATTATAGAGATGAAAATCATAATTTCAAAAATATAGGAACTAAACCAGTAATTTTCAATCAACCATGGGGACGAAAAATGTAATTGACCCTAAAAAAATTAAGCTGTAAACCATTATGTATGGTAACTATTTTTTTTGAAAACTCATTAAATTGTGATAATTTTGAGAACCTAATGCATCATGTAGTATTTCATATGATTTATTTTCATTTATAGTTAGAATTTAATTTAGTTATTAACGTAGATTTGTTTTACAATGTGTTTGTTTCACATGTATTCGGTTCACAATGTGTATCTTTTTGGTGTGTTTGTGAAACAAAATACACGTAAAGTTTTACATTATAAACCGAATACATATGAAACGAACACGTTGTAAAACAATATATGCTAATCAATGCATTAAATTATATATATATATATATATATATATATATATATATGTGTGTGTGTGTGTGTGTGTGTGTGTGAAATCATTTGAAAAACTCCAAAACTTGTAGGATCCGTGAGAACTCCTATTTTAAAGTTTTGTTTCACATGATTTTTTCTATTTAAGTATAATATTTAATGTAATGATTAACATATGTTTGTTTCATATGTATTTGATTCACAAAGTGAAACCTCTTTACGTGTATTTTTTGTTTCACAAATACGTTAAAAAGGTTCGCATTGTGAAATGAGTACATTTGTACATATGAAACAGATATATGTTAATCACCATATTAATATATATATATATAGGGTTATTCAAGGGAGAACTCAAAAATTTGTGATGACCGTAAGATCCAATTTCAACCACCAAATGATAAATTAGGAAATTAATAATTTTGGTAATTTGACTTACAACTTTAATTAAAGAGCATTTTATGTGTTTTAGAAATCTTATCTCTCCCTTCTCATCTCTCTGACGAATCTTATTCCGATGAATCTTATCTCACGAACACTATGTAAACGCAAGATACATATTGTGATATCATCTGTAAAACAATGAAAAATTGTAGGTGGGTACAGTTATATGAACAAAAGACACATACCATGTCGACAATGTTATAAAAGATACATACAAATGATACTCACTGTGATATACAACATACATACAAGATGCACCATTGTGATAACATTTGTAAAACAACGACAATAACAAAAAAAAAACATATAAGATGCACATTGTGATACCCTTAGCGGCATTATAGTCCAACACTGAGATCTAGAACAAAAACAAATTTGATTGATGGAGATGGTCCAGGCCTTTTGTACACCGTTGTCTTTGGTGGTGCATCATCGAAGAGTTGGTGGTGCATCACCGATGAAGAAATCTAGAGGGTGGTGACGACGCAGAAGACATATGGTTCGGTGGTCGGAGTTTGAGCGATAAGGGGAGGGATAACAATAAAAGCGATATGGGTTTTGGCGCTTTGTTGAGGTCTCCAGCGAGGTACGGGTTTCAGTGCATTGTCGAGATCTAGATTTTGGTGCATTGTCGAGATCTCTAACGTTCTTGTACCTTCGACTATTTCTGGTGGTTTGCCGGCAAGAAACGGCAGATGGGTTGGGTGGATGTCGACTGTTTTTTGGGGGTGGAGGGAGCGACGATTTAGAGAGATGAGATCTAGGTTATTTACGAATATGGTGTAATCATGAGGCAAATGAGTAAATTACGCGCTTAATTGTCAAAAACAGTTTATCACTAAATTACTCTTTTCTATTTATTTAATAAATACTAAAATTATATTAAATAAGTTACTCACATTGGATCTTATGGTTATCACAAACTATCGAGTTCTTATTTAATTAAGCCTCTATACACACACACACACACAGAGGAAAGAGTTCAAACAAGAACACATTAATTTTTTAAGAACGTAAGAACACTCTTTTACTATAATCAATCACATGTAACACTATATTCCATCACATGCGATATTAAATCAGAGACACAGACAACCTTTGACGCAACCTAGGTTCCAAGACATGTCGTCCGCACACCACCACGTCCCATTATATGCATTATTACATGTAATAAGAACGTTCTCACGTCTTCATAAAATAGAGATGTTCTCGTTTAAACCTCCACAAATATGCAATCTATTTTTACAATTTATTATTGGTTTTTATTATTTATTTTTGACAATTTATTGACATTTTTCGCCCCTTATACTTTTTGGTAAACCACTAATATAGTTAAGACTTGAAAACAAAAACAACAATAAATTACAAATTATACGGACAAATACCAGAATTTTGAAAATGCATGGACAAAAGGCACATTATTTAGCATAGATAAAATGCGTCCTGACCTGTTGGAAAACCCGGTTCATCCATCCCATGGCCAAGGATTCCCATAACTTAATCCAAGGCCGGGGATCTCAGACATACCAAAAACCGGAGACAGGTAATGACAAGATAGCCAACTCACCAAAAAATGACACATGACACCCAAGTTACTTATTTATCATATGTATAGATTTTTTATATTCATATTTTACTATATTTTTGAACCAATTTCTACTATTTTTGGAATATTTTTTTGTTAAACCAAGGGTGGACCGGAAATAAGCCTAAAAATGTTGGGATGGGATTCGACTCCCTTAACCTGCCAAGGACCAGGATGAGGTTGTGGAACCGGGGCCGGGAATTGCATTTTGCGCCCCATCCCCGCCACATGCCATGCCTACATGTAAAAAGGACAACAAAAACGGTTACTAAGCCTTGGCGACTAGGCCCCTATGCAGTCGAGCATCAAAAAGTCATAACAGATGGTGACCAGTCGGGATTTTAGTGCACCGAACCAAACAGACCAACCTTACCTGTGGCCTATCCAGCACAGCAGTCCACCTCAAAAACCAAATCAAAAATGCAAAGCACAGATGAAAATTAATAGAAGATGGCCATGCTAAAAATATCTGAATCCCTACAAGTTCAACATATAGAAGCTTCAATGCCGATTACGCGGTGAAATATCAATCAAACATTTGGTCTACTTTGCTGCAGCAACAAGTGCAGATCTGGCTCGGGTAAAAGCAGCAATCACTGATCCTAGTTGCAACCTGTCGTTGCACCCAAAAGTTAACCGATACCTGCACAACCAAATAACAATCACAAGAATGAATTCAAGCATATCTAAGAATCTGTATTTGGTTTCATCTTTAGCATACCCCAATGATATTAGGATAAAAAAGCTTATCTTCTCCACGAGTTCTAAATAAGCCCTAAACCCTAAACTTTGACTGGGGACCTAGCTTTTCATCAGAAACAGCATAGAAATAATAAGTCCCGTTTGTTTAGCCATGAGCCAGTCTTTTGAAAAGCTACTTCAAGTAACGTGTCAATAAGATATACAGGCTTTTTTCCAATTAAGCTCCTTATATTTTTCCAATTAATATTTCAACATGTCCTTTTGGATCATTTTACATTGTCATTTAACTTAATAGCTAGTTTGTACCGAGCATGACAAGTTTATTAGCTAGCTTATTAACTTCAGCTTATCAGCTAGTTTGAGAAGCATAATCATATTTATAACTGAAGTAGAGACAGGACCTGATGTAATTGTACTCTATGGGCACACAAATGAAAGGAAGAAAAGAAGTACATACTCGACATCAGCCAAGTCGTTGATGAGCTGTATTCTGACATCTGAAGGCATCTTGATCCTAAAAACAAACCTGAAAACATAAAATTGCTCTCGCAAGATGAGCTGCTAAATAAGTGATAACTTAGTAGCTAGAAATAAGAGACTTACATAGTTACTTCTCTTACAATGTCCACTAAAGCCAATCCTTTGGTTGCCTTGATATCAGATATTTCTATACCGAGTTAAGCACCAACCAAAAAAACAGAGAAGAAAACTAGAAAAGTAAAAGTAGAAGAGAAGGATGGATGGATGAAATTTCTATGAACATTTAAGTCTAGTAATGACATCTGTTGGATACTTTGAAAGCTATATGAAAATGGCTCATTCAGAAGCCAATAAGATATCTGCTCGATGTCTTTAGGCAATGGATTGCCAGTGCAGAGGTATACAGCTTCTTCGGTTATCTGCTGAGAAGCCATGTCTGTTGACTGCATGAATCAAACACATTGGGGCGATTAGTTTAACAGTCATTGTAAATCAAAATCATATATCAGCTAACAAACAAAGGATGAAATATAGAAACAAAAGAAGCATGCCCAAGCCAAAAAAAAAGGATGAAAAGTAAGAAATGAAATATTTTCTTGTTAGTGGTCGTTAAACCTCGAGGGCCACGGAGGTTCAAATGCGGTGACTCCGGACTATCTGCAAAGCAGGTGGTTGCCCTGGGATTAGTCGGCTAGCATAGCGGGTTGGATAGCCAGGTTAATAAAAAAAAAACCTCAAGGGCCAGGCCAACTAGGAAATAAATGCCAGGCCTTAGGGTTCCTCCACATAGGTCGCCAGTTCAAATGTCCTCAGGGCCACTGGGATTCCCTAACTGTTATCTTCAAGGCCCGATGGGATTATTTGAGTGTGCGCAAGGTGTCCTGGACACCCACGGTTACACAATAAACATAGTTGGCCTTAACAAGAGAAACTGAGAAGTGCGTTCATTTTTCATTACCCTTTGTCATGAATGCACGTATACATGCATTATTTTTAATAAATATCTTAGTTTTGTCCATTTTCAAAGTAAAGATGAATTGTGGGTAGTTTCAAAGCAGAATGATTAGACCGAATAATAAACATGACAGTGATGGATATATGTAGTTTCATACTGTATTCCCTCGATATCATTCTTTAGTGATCACTAAATATTATTTGTGATAGTATGATGATGGCATCACCTTGCCCCAAAGGTTCACCTGGTTCAGAAGGGATCATTGGAGCCACTCTTGTGGCACCCTTCGGCCCTTTACACCCTGGAGTAGGCTATAATGGAAACCTACTTTTTATATTTGAACCATTTCGCCTCAAGCAAACATAAGAATTCTAAAAGATATTAAGTCTGTCCTCCACCAAAGCAAATGAAACAGATGCCGAAATACTAAAAGATGTCAAAATCAGAGAAAGATCAGCATATTAGATGTGTATTTCAGTGCTGAAATAATTTATTTATTAATTCCAATAATATTTTAGAATTTGCTCAAAGTAAGTACTTGTTAGACCCTTTTCATATCTAAATTAGGAATAGAATGTGCTGCTTTCTGGCATTAGCCTGTATATATAAGTAATTTCTGTATCGAAGATGCAAAACTACGTCTCTAAGAATCAGCAAATGATCTCGATGAATATTTTAGAATTTACTCAACTTTACTAGCATTAAGTTTTTTTCTTATCTAATTTAGGATTAGAATGTGCTTCCTTCTAGAATTAGATTTATTTAAGATGATATATATATGTCGGTATATACATAGAGGTATTTCTGCCTCCTACATCCAAGAATGTTTCTCTTAAGAATGGCCATAATTTATCCAATGATTTCGGTGCTAATAATTTCCGTGCCCAGCGCATAGTTCATATTCAGCATAACAGAACATAATAAAACCAATGACACTGTTTTCCTTTTAGATGATGCAAAAAAACATACAAGAAGCTTCTGAAAGAGATGCACCATTACATAGCCTTACTCTATTCATGACAGAGCAGAAAATAAAATTAAAAATAGAAAAATGGAACAACCCACACGTAATAACTCTGTAATAACAACTAAAATAAGAGAACAATCAGAATTAAATATTTATAGAATAAGAATTGAAAAAACTGTAAACTGAAAAATCGGGAAGAAATAAGATAACCTGCAAAATGTTCAAAGCCTTCCTCATATCACCATTGCTAAGTCGTACAAGAGCTGCTAAACCATCTTCCGTGACATCAAGCCTAATGTAACAAATTTATTGTTAACAAAATTATAACTGAGGAGTTCTTTAGAAGTGTGTCACAACGTTACCAAAACCTCATATATGCATAGTTTAGTGGACATGAGCTACAACAACAAAAAAACGTAACTGAAACTTCAATGATAACATATACATAAATAAAGTATGTAGCCCTATATTTAACACTGAAGCATATATATTACCCATCTTCTTAATGCTAACATTTGATCCTTGTAGCAACTTTGTCAAGACATCAACAACGTGCTCCTGGGCAACACAAACTCAAACTAGTTCAAGGGATAGGGTTCATGAGAAGTACCTTTCACCTTCTTGAGAATTGAAGTAACAACTAACCTTGATGTGTTCTGTGTGCTAGTGAAAATTGATTCTTGAAAATGTGCATAGCAACCTTTCTAGTTTCTAAGACAATACATTCCACCAAACCAGCTAGAAATCTCCTAAATTCCCGTGACAAAAAGACTTGCAAGTTGTAGTTGCCATAGCATGATATTCAGACTCCACGGGCACCATATAGTGCTTCTTGCTCTTCCATGCTATCTACATGTTTCTTGGCAAAGTGACAATGTGCTTCTTGTAGTAGTATGGACATCCTAAACGGCTGGCATTAGAATACCTGATAACCTGAGTCTGATAACCCGAGTGCATCCTTCATTTGTGCAAAGAAGACCTCAAATTGAGCACCCGTAATATACATTAGAACCCAATGAATGATGCAAGGGAAAGACATGAACCGCAAACCAACCTCATCAAGAACGCACTATCCTTTATAACAACTGTCATATAGTTTAATATTCCAGCCTATACCAGGACCGCTTGACATTGGGCATCATCCATGCACATTGACTTGGGAAGCTGGTATCTCAAAAAAGCAACAAGACTATCATTCAAAAGAAAAATGATCAAATATAATGAGATGATACTAACAATCAGCTACCTACCCATCAACCATACATATTTCTGCAAGAATTTCAAGAACGTGCTTCTTATCACACAAGAATACACCATTCCATCAAATACCAACCTAATTGCCTAAAAATTACCTCAGGCTTCCTAGTTGCTTGGTCTGAAATTATTTTTTTGCATGAATAACTACAGATTTGCACCACCTTTTGTGTTTTCTACTGTATTAAAAATATCATCCACATAAAACACCAATAGGATTTCCTCCTTGTCAATTTCCTTGAAGAATATAGAATATTCATACGCACTTTGTTATCTTGAATGCGGAATGCCTCTAATTCATGACAGACAAGAGAAAACCAAACTCGTGGAGATCTCCACTAACAAAAAACTCTATGAACCTCTGTTGGAACCACATACACCGGAGGCAGCGAAAGCTGAACTCTTGCATGTTGCTAGATGGCCAAGTCTCCAAACACCTAGAGGCAGCAGAAGGCAGAACTGAGGAAAAAAGGTTTTGACTGTGGTTGATGGCTGATTTTGCGAGGTTCATGACGTCGTATCTAGAACCATGGCTCCAGTGCCATGTAACGAAAAGGGGTTTATCAAAAAGTGTGTTATTCCATCAGCAAACCATCAACCACATAAAGTACATAAGGTGCATATCTTGCAACAATGGCAAGCAATGTTATTTTGATAATGACTAGTGATGTAATTCTGCAACGTAAGTAAGAGAAGCAGTGCTGCTAACAACAGGAACAAAGCTATTAAGAGCTATCAGTAGCCCACGCTACTTCAGTCTTCCGGCATTTCCACTTCACACCCTTTAATTGAAAGTTCGCAAGAAACAATTCCTTAGTTTTAGTGCTATTAGTGTTGAAACTTGAAAGAGAACTTGAGAAGTTAAGACCCTGTCATTATATCCTAAATATAATGAATCTCATCGACTTACTTCATTTTTTAACCAGTGAAATCTAAATTATAACAGAAGTAGTAAGAAAACAGATTGAACTTATGAGAGAATCACTGAAAGGTCAACCTTTTATAATCCCAACTCCCAAGGTTGTTGATCATCAAGAGGAAGTAAGTGCACAAAATGTTTCAAAACATCAAAACAGTCACTAAGCAACGGAAGTTCTAAAAACAGGATCTTAGATCAGTTTAGAACTTACAAGATATGCTAGCTTTGATATGTACTAGACTGCCAGAAGCAGGGAAAAGGATCCTAATTACAGATCATATATGGAGAAAGAATGTGACTTCGAAGCAACCACATGTAATAATGTCATATAATACTACATACAGATACTTGTATTTTTTGGAAATTATATAAAGATACTTGTTTGAGCAACAGAAAGAGTAAAAGAGGATCATCCAAAAATAGCACCAAGTTTTGAGACTGCATTAGAAGAAAGTCAACAAACTTACCCTTCTGCAGTAATAACATGTTTAAGTCGCTCAGTGACATGGACAGGGTCCAGAGGAGCAAACCGAAATCTTGTGCATCTTGATTGTAGTGCTGGAATTATCTTGTTGACGTTATTACAGATAAGTGCAAACCTGGTGCTTTTTGTGTATCTCTCAATCACTGCATTACAGATGCGTTGAACAGTGAGTACTCAGAAAATGGAAGTACAACTGAGTTACATAAACTTTGTAGATTACCTCGGCGAAGAGCAAATTGTGCATCCTTTGTCATTGCATCTGCCTCATCCAAAAGAACCAGCTTCACCGAGGCTTTTGCACTGATAAACAACAAGCATAGGAAGGCAATGCATAAACAAGAAAACATGAGATCACAATGTCAAAATAGCTTGGTCATATTGAACAAAGCCATCTGCGTCAGATGCACTAAAAGTAACTTACAAGTTCATTGCATACAAGAGTGCCCAATAAACTAAAAACCCAATAAAATATTAATCATAAAGGAATATCAAGCTGTTAGATAAATGAACAAACTGAAAATGGTTCTAAACTAACCCTGTTGTAAATGATGGTTACACGTATTAATGATGTGGGGAGCGAAGGTTTCACGTATTAAGTATCCTAAATACCAATGGCTCACGTTGCATTTGCACAACCCCCTAAGACATCATGAGTCATTGTGTTCATGTCCCTAGCTTTGAAATTGATCATCTTTGGGGTGATTTTATCTTACTGGCAGCGTTTGTCAAAATGGCACGGCCATAAAACATGCTCGGACTGATTAAGTAACTCACTGAGTGACTTCCATATGGTCGTTTGGTAAGGACCTTTCCTGTGTCAAACTTGTTTCCCTTTTAAGCAAATCAAGTACGAGTATCTAACAGTTGTTTCTAGAGATGTCTAAAAACAAAATTTAATATTCTTTTATGAGACAATAACAATGGGGCCAAAAGGTTAAACGTCTCCACAGAATCAACTTTTTTGCAGAGTTGTCTTATTTTTGACAGAGAATCCATGTTATATTCCCTCACTCAAATTTAAGTCTCCGCTAGGTTTTAGTTTCCTCTGGATGCAAGTTACATCCCCAAATCGATATAAAGAAAATCCTTGACAATCAAAAGAAAGAAGAAATTCGGCAGATACATAAAAGCAAGAATTACCCAAAAGAAAAGCTCTGAGTGCTAGCAAAATCCTGTATCTGCTGCCTGACCACATCAATTCCACGTTCATCAGATGCGTTGAGCTCCAAAACCATGTTGTGCATCTGCACCCCAAAGAGTTTTCTAGCTACAGCAAGAATCGTAGACGTCTTCCCGGTTCCCGGTGGTCCATACAGTAACAAATGAGGCATTTTGTTCTCACTCGTAAGCCTATCAACTGTTCACCAAAAATCCCCAATGAACAAACAATCTACACTTGCGCTGTTCAAAAGAAATTCGGAACCTTTATTACATAAAAAACAACAATTATCATACTTGTATCGATTATGTCGCGATGAGCGGCGACGTCGGCCAGAGATTGAGGGCGGAACTTCTCGACCCATGGAGTGGCTTTGGTGTGGGGTGGTGGGCCGCCGCCGGAAGCCACTACAGCTTTTCCCTTGTTGTCTTGAGATGGATTATCGTCGTCGACCTCCATTAGTGAAACCACTTCCGCCATTTTCTCCCTCAAGAACGAATCTCTCGCCTTTCTTTGGTGTTGCTTTGCGCGGGAGTAGCGATGAATCAAATGGCGCCAGCCAATGCTTAGGGCAGCAAGCTAAAGCGTCTTTGAAATCCTTGATCTTGGTCATAAAAGTACATTAGGGAATTTGAGTTTTTAATAAATAATTTATACCGGTGAAAACTGATTATAAAGAGTTTTTAAAAAAATTAAACTCTTATAACTTATAATAAGTTGATAAATGTTTTTATAAAAAAAACATAAGTTGTTTCAAATAAGTAATCCCAAACACCCCTACTATTTATATATCAAATAATCTGTCAAATATCATATATCATGATTTATAAATGCGTATCGATTAAAGTTTTTGCATACGACATGTTTTAACCTGAGATACGAGATTTTTTCGACACTCCAAAAAGGATCTGACATGTGTTTTGTACTCAACTTTTGATTTGTAACGGTATTGTTTTTACCGTTTCAACGGATGTAACGTAAATATTTGTACTTTTATGTTCGATCTGTATTTACTTTTATTATTTAGTGATTAATGTTACTTTTTCATTTATTGTTTGACAAAAAAAAAAAAAAACTTTAGAAGCTCACGAGGGCAAATAAATTGTCGGTTTGAGACCATAAAATTCGCGAGTGGCGATGGTGACGACACTGAGATAGAAGGATCAAGAGTCAAAAAACGACGAGCAAGCATATATAGCTAAGGATTTTTGGTGGTGACGGGGGATTGGTGATGGCGGAGGTGGTGAGACAGTGGTGGCGAAGATGGTGATAATTTAGGGCTCGAGAGTTCAAAGGTAATGAGTAAGGGTGTATAGCTGGAGATTTTGGGTAGTTTTGTAATGTATTTTAATATACTATAAAATTATTCGGTTTACTTTAATAAAAAACTGTATTTGCTAATCACTAAAAAGATGGTAACCGGGTCGTAAATCTTGTTTCTTAGCAACTTAACGAGTTTAATGATATTCATGACTTATTCGATCTGATATACATGAATATTTGATAGTGATTTAATGATATAGGAACTGGCTTATTCAATAAGCTTTTAGAGGGAGTTTCATGCAAAAAGTCAAGTTTTTTCCAAACCTGTACATTCAAATTAAAAAAACACGCACTTCCATCTATGAAAAAACTCTTCTAAACAAAACTTCTATCAATCTATACAGATAGATTAATCCACACAGACAGCTTTATATGTATATAACTTAATGAAAACCAACCAAACAACCCTTTATTAACCGGACCTTGGAGCACCCGATGATAATATCATAACATGGTTCCTTGACCGGCCCTCCTTCAAAAAATCGTAACCGATGGTACAGTCGAACTTTTAGTAATCAATCCTTCGATAGAGCACCGATAACATTGTTCCTAGATGACTCGACTTCAAAAAATCATAATTGAATGTAGAATCAAACTTTTAGTAATCGATCCCGGGTAACCAGTCCCGTCCCGGCCTACTTACTCACCTCTGCTTATGATCGCAAATTGAAAACCTTGTTCTTTGTCCTTCAGCCGAAAAGCTCGTTTGAAAGTTGAGGAACGAGGTCAAAAATCTAGTGTAAAGTCGAGGTTTAATATCCCATTTTAAAGATGCAACAATCATAACTTTGTCGCATACCGAGGCTAAGGGCTCGTTTACTAAACGCTTACCCGGTAATTTTTCTTACCAGATGAGCATGGCAAGAGTCAAAAATCTTACCCGGTAAGAACAATGATAAAGATGGAGAGTCTTATTCGGTAAGTGGGGATGACGACTCTTACCCGTGTAAGTGCTTACCGGGTAAATTATTGCATACGATACCCTTTTGATGTACTACAATCTTACTGGTAAAGATAAATTATAATATTGACTCCTAACGGCAAGTGCTTACCGAGTAAGCATTTAGGTAAACGGCCCCTAAGAAGCTTGTTTCGAGCACCGTTTAGGTTTTTCCTAAAGCACGAGACTCCAAAATCGAGAAATGCAGCGAATTGCCGACTTGGAACAAGATCCGACAGAGCGTAGCTGTACTGGCATTACCCTCTTGAAAAAGATTTGAGCATTTAACAAGCCAATCGAGCTCAAACGCAATAATTTTCAATCTGAAATTGACCATTGACACAGAATAAAGTTCAATTAAGTTAACGAGACAAGTTTCATAACGCCAGTGTTTGACCCAGCTCATTCAAAAGCTCGATTAAATGTTTTGAGTCAACCCAAACCATATGAACATGTAATTAAAAACCCTCCACTTCAATTGGTATTTTTTTCCGACCCAAACAAGTTCATATATTCATAAATCGCTTAATCAATATACAAAAGTTATCGAGCTCGACCGAATAAACAAGTTAATTGATCTCGAATTCGAGTTCGAGCCCATACATAAAGTTTGAATTTTAGGCCACAATATATAACTCAAAATTGTTAATCAAGCATCGACCTTGAGCACTAATTTGGAAAAATCATTCGAACTCGAGTCTAATATTATTTTCTCAAGCCGTGTCTAAACAACCTGCTACCCAACTCGGTTCATTGACACCCCTAGACGAAACAACATTGCTTACATACTACACAAGCACAACTACCAAAGCGGCCGTGCATTTACAACAGCCGTAAAAATTAAAAGCTCAACATTTTTTCGAAATATAAGTTACAGTAAATAACTAGCACAACTTACCATCTAAACACGAAAGATAAGAGACGTTAGGCAACCGGGATCTTGGGTTCTCCTAGATTTACAAAGGACTGAGCATAAGCTATGCGTGCCAATGCCATATTCCATGAGACGAGATGATCCATGAACACATTAGCGTACTGGGCTTTGTTGTTCTGTTGAAACGAAACATAAGAGAAACGATATATACAACTGAGATAAACGACTGGTTGTGGAAAAGGGATGTTTTAAATGAAAATGTACCTTGTAATCCAAATAATAAGAATGCTGCAAAATAGAAGAAATGGAAATTAGAACCATCCCCTACACTCTCTCCGCCTAATAACAAACGCTAACAATTTCTGTTTCCTGATGTCCCAAAATAAATGCAACATTTCCTTTTTAAAGAAGTTGGTATAACGAAATACTTTGTTTGCGAATACAAATCACAAGTCCCCAAACTCTTACACCAATAAACCTTTGCCACATCATCACTTTATTGAAGATAGAATAAAAAGATGAATTGAATAATTGTATATTAGATAAAGTTATGATGTGTCAGAAGTTGATTGGTAGGACAAGGAAGAGACATGAAATTTGAAGACAAGTGATCTGTATTCCTTTTTTACTCATTCGTATTCTTACAAAATATTACCTATTGATTTCGATAAGCAAAGTTCCCAATTTTGTAGTTGTTGAGGGATATTTTAGATCTTTGACCAAGGCTATTTTACCTTGAACCTTTTAGATTATTGTTTTATGGTTTATCAGCTAGTTTTTACAAAACATGACTAGTTTATCGGCTAGCTTATTAGAGCATCTCCAACAGATTCTCCAAAATGGAAAATCAAAACTTAAAATTTCCACAGATTATCTATCTTGGAGATTACAACATAATTTTATTTATTAAAATATTTTATACATGTAATAGAATATTATTTCTCTCTAACAAACATTTAACAACAAGGTTTCTTATTTGTGGGAATATAATAAAAAATTATTCCTCTCGGGAATCATTTTGGAGAACTTCACACTCTCTCTCATGCTTTCTCCATTTTGGAGTTTCTGTTGGAGCAAAAATTTGGCCAAAGTCTCTATTTTCTCCATTTTGAAGAATATATTGGAGATGCTCTTAGTCAACATCTATGTTTTCAGCTAACAGCTATCTAATAAGCCAACAGTTAGCTTTTTCAGCTAGTTTGCGAAACATAAATAGCATAGTAAGACTTTCATAGTTTCATTGAACTACATGTTCGATCTAACGTTGCATTTATTATGGAACAGGTGGACTATTTATTAAAACTCTTGTGTGTGTGTGAGAGAGTTAGAGAGAGAGAGAGAGAGAGAGAGAAAGAGAGAGAGATGTACCTCCCACATATCCAAACTAAGAAGAGGCTGTGCAAGTAGAGGGGATCAATGTGTTAGTAAAAGGAGAGAAGAGACATTCAGACAGCAATACAAGTAGTAACAAAGTGGGAAACAAACTCTTACAATATCATCCCACACGAGCGGGGTTATAGCATTTGTCGTTTGAACTACTGCAAGCCGTTTCTCATTCCGCTTTACTGAAATGGGAAAACGACAAAAGATCACACAGGAAACAACAAATGTTATAAAGCCATACACAACATTAAAGCACATAAAGTAATGAACCAGAATGCTAACTACATGGCAAGAAACATACAAACAAGCCAAACCCAGCCAGAGCCGAATAAGGTAAGGGCATTTTCGATGAACTCTTCTCTGAAATCTGAGAAGGAACCAAAATCCTTTTCAATCTGCCGCAGTAGACCCAATGTTGGTGAGTTACCACCTCCTGGTTGCATGGATTCCCAGAAGAAATCATGGTTCCAGACCTGAAAAAAGTACAATTCTTGAAATGACTCGAGAAAATCATGGTTCAAGCCAAATCTTAATTTCTTGGGAGAATCTAAGTAGAAACATAAGGTTTTGGGCAACGGAAAAAGATTATGGAGCCAAGAAGTCAAGGAAAAACAAATTCCAAAATTATAATAGAGCTCATGAGTTGTTCAAACCTGAGCCGCAACATTAAATTCTGGCAATGGGTTTCCGTTGTTATATGTCACTTTGATCAGTTCATCCATTGTGTATCCATACAATATATCGTCCTTCTCTAGATACTTGTTCAAACTTTCCACATAACCACGATGATGCTCCCCCCAGTGCACCTCAAGAGTCCTCTGGCTCATATACGGCTCTAGCGCATCCTGGAAAAAGCATAAGAGAAAATCAATAGATAACAAATAGGTATAGAGATTTAGGGTTTGAACATTGAACTGATGTTTATTAGCAAGGGAAAACCTTGTGTAAATAATGTACAAAATTGACTCCTTGGTCAAGAAATAAATGGAACCGATGAAACTTAATGAAAATAATATGAAATAAATACCATTTTCACCTAATGAAAACTAACAATCTGAGGCTCCTACTCATGTTGTAGCAAAGATATTGGCCATTCCCAACTTACAACGTATAAAATCTATTTGGGGTTTTGGTAGAGGCTGATGACGCCAAGAAGTTGGTAATTTTTCTGCATGTGAATTGGCAATAAATGAACTTTGTTTTGTTGATGACACAAGGGATGTTGTACCAATCTAGATCCCATGTTTTTCAAATAAATCCACAGATGGTAGAGTTGAAATTCTTTTAACCTGTAGATTTCTTCCCTATACCAGAGACTAGGGTCGGATATGAAAACTAACAAAATTCAACAATCTAACATTTGTCTTAAGTGGAATAAGAGTATATATCAAAGAAAAGCTAATTTGTTACATAATGATAAGTCATCACAAGGTGGCTGACGACTACAGGGGAAGCGGCTGACTGCAGTGCCTGAGCCCAGAAGCTGGTAAAGTAAAGACAGACTCTTTCGAAAGAAATGGTGGCTAGGAATGTCTTCAGTCAGGTCATCGATTCACCTTATGGTCGACTTACTTGAATCAAAGAACAAGAGCCCACTTGAATACATCAGGCAGTACAAATAGTTTCATCAGATACTAGCACTATTTTAGTCATGTATTCATGCTAATGAGTGTAGTTCTTCAACATTGATGTTTAAACTTTTTATAACAAAATCAGGTTTACAAGCATATTATTTCACATAACCTTCCCCTTGCATAAAGCATTTAATGATGTCAATACACGAATCAGTTCCTCCAGGAAAAATGGACCGACTTTGTGTCTGTACTGGTCATCATCATAACAAACATATCAAGGTAGATTGCTATTTTGTTCTAATGAAGGTGGTTGGTAATTCTGGAGAGCCTCCTACTTCTAAGCCAGTTGGCAGTGCTCTTCGGAAGATAATTCCATTTAATCCCCTTCCCAGGGACCCCTTTGATCGTATATATAGAAGCTTTGACATGTTAGACATATGATCCTAATTTAGTAGGAGCATCGTCATGAGCTGACTCTGGTCATAACATGATTTCATCAGGATGGGTAGAGACCAAAGATGTTGAGTGACCAATCTGGCAAAACAATTAGACTTAAGGAATTTTTTAGTAGTTTTATTCGGAATAAAATCCATTGGCCCACCCCATGTAACTTTAAGTATTGAGTTGAATTAGGAACCTAACATATGTGTTCCTTAACGATATTAGGCCTATGAGATGAATTGCAACAATCGCCCTGGATTAGTTTTAGTCTTTTGCTTTACTTGCAATAATTACATAGAAAATATCTTCAATGGGTTAGTCCCTTTCTCCATCATCATTAACTGACCTTCGGGAACACGGACACAGGTGGTGCATGGTTATCATCAGCTCGTGCGCCAAGCGTGAGGGAATGCTACACGTTTGGCAATTTCTCCTCCGACCAAGATATTTAAAACATGTGATTATTAAGGTTAAAATGGTTATTACAAAAACTTAATAAGAAAATTGGTAAAGATTACCAGAAACAGCCAAAGTTGTACCAACCCAGTATTTCACAGGCCCACATGTAAAGTTTTAGAGTTCATATCCCAAAACCAATATCTCATGGAAGTTCCAACAACTTAAATAGTAGTGTTTCTAATTTCACTTTATGTCTCAGTCTGCCGGTCATATGTGCCATTCTCATTTTGTCATATCTTTTGCGCTCCTCTTATTTCAAAGTCCATCTACTTGGAAACATGGGTACCATCCTACTTTTGTTTTAGATTTAAACCTTTCAACAGCTAAAATGATAATCTTTGTTTGTATCCCCCTCAATTAATTCAGCATGTGGTACTACTTCAAGAGGAAAGATAATAATGGAACTTACAAACTTATAAGATGGAGGTCTCAAGCTGTAGTAAGCACAAATGTTTTTTGGCTTGTTTAAGACACAATCTTTCTTTCTTTGCCCTTTATCCTGACATGTTAGAGAACCAATAAGGATTTATTGAATGAACCCAGTAAAGATGATCAGAATAACCATATGAGACAATATTTAGAGATAATAACTTAACCAGTACAGATAATAGATAAACTTACAAGTTTATGAGTTGGAGGTTTCAAGCCAAGGTAAGCACAAGTATTTATTGGCCTCAAGGAGTCATGATCTTTTCTTCTCAGCTCTTTATACTACCATGTCAGAGAACCATTAAAGAATTATTACCCGAAACCAGTAAAGATGATCAGAACAACCAAAACAGTATCATATGGATAGACAATATTATTCCTCAGACTTGGCTTCAGCATGATAAGCACGTTCGAAACTACTATGGGGGATGCATCTTACCATAGTTCAGTTTCTCCATGACTCCCCCTACGCGTGGTTTTACTGTACCACATCACACATTACAAAGAGTTTTTTGACATCAAACCCTTTTTCTCAGAAGAATATACTTCACAAGTTTGAAATTTACGCATTAAAAAGCTTTCAGGAATCAAGAATGTATATAACTTCATACTTCTGGAAAAAATGTGCACTCTTGGAACAGGATGCATAATGTAGAACAGAGGGCATATTGAAACGCTTATAAACAACTCAAATTTCAATAAAGACATGGTTCTAAAAACTTCAGGAGATAAGAAAAGTGTATCAAAATAAATAAATGAACCCAAAGACATTAATTCTCACCTCAGAAGACAACTTGCACCTATTAAACAGCGTAAGTTCATGGGAATCGATAAGAGAGCTAGAGCTTGAGCTTGACAGGCAAAGATAGTTACTACAGGTCCAACTCATATCTTCTAATCGCCCGTTTCTTGAAATTTAAAGAAAGACAACTGCATCCAAATGGGTATTAAGAACTCAGTTCATCTGTTATCTGTAGAAACTAACAAGAAGATATTGACACGTTCTCTCTGAGGCATTTTCACAATCGGGTGGCTTGCATTTGCAAATACATAATTTAAGACATGCACTCAGTACCAAAATTAAGAGAGCAAACCTAAATGGGTTGTTTCTGCACTGCTGGTATCGATTATCTCGCGATAACGGTCGTTGTGGTTGTTCCTGATGTGGGATGTTGGGTTTCCCCCTTTAATATGGAGCCTTGATGGTGGGTTGGTTCTCTTGTAGTTAGGGCACTGTCTTAGCTCACACGAAGCTTATCCATCGACCAAAAATAATATATACCACCTTGTTTTAACCTCTTCTATAGATTTTCTTTCAAATTATCGACAACAAAAAAGATGTATGTTGTTAAGGATTCGAGATAATCTAAGAAACACCCAATAAAATTAATTCCATGATGCTACCAATTTTTTTTGTGTTTTGTTTTAAGCAATATAACTTTTTTTTATTAACTTGGATATCCAACCTGTTATGCGACCACTTGCTTTACAGATGATCCGGAGCCACTGCATTTAAACCTTCGTGGCCACAAAAAGATCTTTTTTTCTTATTGGATTTGAACCTGAGACCTCCAGGTTACTTTTGACTTTTAGAGTCAAACTCAAACTAATCAAACATCATCCTTGTGGTTAAATAAAATTACCCTTTGCAGACAAAGGAATTGGAATTTGTGTTTTAGAAAACATAAAAGGATTTATGTCCAAGTACGAGCTCGATTAAGGAGGTGCAAATCTTTAACAACGATTGACCAAATTGAAAGCTATTTGTCACACAACACACTCTTGACAGGTCTCCACTTTCACCACCATATCTTTACCCAACCCCTCCACTTTGAATGTAGAACACTGAAAAATACTCTATCTCAGCCTTTAGTTGCAGGCCGAGGTCAGGTCCCTTGGGCCAACATATAGTTACAAACTTTTGTTTAAGTAGGTTTCAAGCCAAAAGTGGGCAACATTCACATCTTCAGAGATCCATGCCTACAATCAAGTTACACAATTCAAATACATTCCAAGTAATCATATCATACTTCTTTCAGCATCGATCAACTGGTAATCTGGTATTATATAAATAAACCAATGGATTAACTCCTCACTCAAAAGACTCCCTAACAATCGGGATTCGTAATCAAAATATTTACTGGGTTGGGTTGGGTCTCGATGATTAGTCAGTCTTCCTTTCGATTGGTTCCTCGACCAAACGTTGGTATACACGTCCGCGGGCAGCTTACCCTCCAAAGATTTATTCTGTCTTTGAAGAACATAGCTAGTTAATGCTTCTGCACAAGTGCATAGAATCAAATGTACATAAATCTCCCATCAGCGCAACGCCGGAGTTGAGTAGCATATGGGTGAATTCTTCAAACTTGCTATCCTAAAAAGCAACCGCGTAAAAAAACCCTAATTTCTGTTTCAAATAAATCTTTTCACCCAAACTCATGAAACTTCTTGAAGTGCAAGATTCAACTCGTGTGCAGACTTGGCAATCGATCCACCTCTTCTATAAGATCATGAAAGATGACGCTTAGATTCCCATGTGATATCTTTTTTCAAGAAACAGGAAAAGAGTAAAGAGAAAACACACCTGGTTAGGACCGGCAAGCAACGCTTGACCTTTTCAAGCTCCACATAACAAAGGTTGCAACGCTCTAGCCTGCCACAAGCCATTTTATTAGAATATGCTAAACCAAACGAACCCAGTATATTTTACTCAAAATAAGGTCCAGAGGGGTGAAATGTACATAGACTTGTTCTCTGTCCCAAAGGGTATAACAACCGTTTCCAAACCAAGTGAACCCAGTATATCCTACTTGAAAGTAGGGTCTGGAGTGAGAGGTATGCAATATTGTTCTCTGCCACAAAGATCAAACAAGCCCGGTATATCCGTAGCCCCAAAGAGTAGAACGATTTTTCTCAAACCAAATGACCCCATATATCCTACTCAAAAGTAGGATCTGGGGTGAGATGTACACAGGCCTGTCCTCTGCCCCAAAGGGTAGAACGGATGTTTCCGCAAAGACCCTCGGTTTGTGCAAAAGTGTGAGCCATTTCATCAGAATGATCGCAGAAAACAATGTTAATTTTAGTTTGACATAGATCCAGAACACACCTCTGCTCTGCCTCAATATCAACACCAACAGAGGATGATGCTTGTAAAGAAGAATATATCACTGAACCAAATATCCGCACCAGCTTAAGCAGCAATTCTAGTGATACTCCTCTATGCCTAAAATGAAACATGTTAAATGCTCAGCATTATATAACCTTCCTTGATGCAAATAATCCAAAAGATCAAAGAAAGCTTGATAAATAATCTTCATTTACGAGTCTCACCACTGAAATCAACTAACAATTCATGCAACTTCTACGATCACCTATTGAAATGCACAGCACGATGTACCTGTTCTCCTTGGTCGAAAACTAATAAACACATTTTACTACCTTTGTCTAAAGCAAATGCAACTATTTCCTTTTTGGGCAGATCTCAAAGAATGCAACATTTCTTTCTTTAGTAAGTTCTTAATTCAAATTCTACCTTCTTACCTATTAGTAATCATTACATGATACTGTGAACTTTGATTTTGTTCCATAACTTTTTATTGAGACCCATTTTTAATATTTGAGCAACATTCAAAACACTTTTATTAAACTATTTGCAAAGTGGCACCTTACATTTTCTGGAATGGAAAGAAAATACAAGATATTCGACAACTACCCCCTCCCCTTAAGAAATGTTAACTTGAGGATGAACACAATATGAGAAATCTATTAAGATTGTGTTAAAGCACACAACACTTCAGTTTGCTTCACATGAATACAGTATTCATGAATCCAGATAATATACCTATCCATGTCACTTTCAAGGAGACTTGCAAGGAGAGGCAGAAGACAAGAACAAATATCCAAGGTGATGGAATCAATTTTCCCTGTCAAGAGACTGACTATATCTGCAGTGACCTGTAGAATTGCACAACGGTTGGGAGTCAGGACTAAAAGAATCACCAAGAGATGCAATGGCTTGTCACTTTTTCCAAGTTCACTTCCAACTAGCTCATAAAAACAAAGACCTCCTACTATCTACTCCCTCAGTCCCCAAATAAGGGACTGTTTGGTTGGTTTTCCATTAACTCCTGTGTAAATAAAGCTATTTGTGTGGATTAACATGTCTGTACAGATTTTAAAGGTTTTTGTTTGAGAGAGTTTTTTCATAGATGGAATTAGCATGTTTTTTAATTGGGAATGGCAGGTTTGGAAAAAACTTGGCTTTCTGCATAAAGCTCCCCCCAGAAGCTTACTGAATAAGCCACTTTCTATATCATTAAGCCACTAGCAAACAGTCATGGATAGTTGACCGAATAAGCTGTGAATCCCATTAAGCTCATTAAGCTGCTAACAAACAGGCCCCAAGTGTCCATATTTCTATTTTAGTTTGTCACAAGATAATGTCAATTTCCTGGCCACCCTTAATTATGAGATTTAGAAATTCATTAGTCCCTCTATTATTAAAGGTAAAATTTTCATTTACGTAATTAAAAAGGTGTGATAATTGTACATTTCTAAAACTTTATGCCTTTTTCATCGTTGACATTTATTTCTGAGCGCACATCTAACATGAGTGAAACAGAAATATAAAAGAGTTGCTAAAGGATTTTCACTCACAGCATGATCAGCCATTCTCTCCATTGCACTAATTGCTCCCTTCATATCATTCCTATCCCAGCATCTATGGATCATCTGCAGATAATATAAAGCAGTAACTAATTTCCAGTATCCTTGGCAACAATACAATTAGTGAGATCATCAAATTTTTTGTTTCAGATTGAACCAAGGTATCATGGTAAAGGTTTGGTTCATTCATGGCTTCGCAACAAACTGAAATAAGAAAGCCTTCTAGTAAAACGTTGACAAATGTTTCTACATCATTGAAAAGATTAAAAGAAATTCACCCCCTCCATTTCATGAGAATGCAACGATTTTCAAATTAACGGGTGTCTTGTAAACCAATGCTTTTATGGCAAATCTACATGCTAATTGATTTGCCAATTGTCATCATAACAAACTGTTGATGCTGATTTTTTTCATCCAGAAGACTATCTTGTTTGTTTTATTATAGTTGAAAATCATTTCTGTAACTTACAAGTAGTCAAACACTTCCCACTTCAATTTTCGAAGGCAAATTATCCTTGAGATAATTAAACCAAGTGTACTGATCTTTTTCAGATAAGGAAAAACCATTGATGTGTAAATTTTTTCAAACTCATAACTTGGATCTTGATCAGAAATGAGAAAATGCTAAAGGATAATTTTTTATGTACAGGAACAAATGAAATTTAAAAGAATCAAAATCCCAAATTTAGGAGAAAAAATGCCACAAAAGATAACAACCTGTAGCTTGGCTAGGCGAGACTGCATTGAGGATACGAATTGATCATGTCGTCCCATCATATCCACAATAGCATCATCCTCTGAGACAGATTCCGTCTCCTTTACAGTAGACTCAGATAACTGTTTCTGCACAGATTGAGGATTGTGGCAAAAGAAAAACAAAGTGAGAATGTCTTTTGTGGGTAAAGAAAATGCAACAAATTGTCTGTAATGACTGCAAAAAGAATTGAAGAATATTAATTTCCCACTAATACCTGAGCTTGTTCAAGGCAATATTTCTTTCACATTACAATATGACTCAAAGGGTAACTTTCATGATGGTAAAATGATTGGATCATACAAGTAATCAGTAAATGAGTGGGTGAACCAAATGTGAAAGCTGCTATTTCACTGGTCACTGGCCATAAACAGTCACAGGAATAATGAATAAGAGTTTTCAAGCTTGATCGTAAGAAGATACTCATGAATGGACAATGTTATCCAAAAATTTGGAAGCTCAAATGATACCATTTCTAGACAAAGCGACTCATGTATGGAATCTGGACAGTGTAATTAGAAGTGCATAAACTCTCAACCACAAGGGTGGTGCCTAATTGGTTTGAGCTTGGCTCCAAAGGTCAAAAGTACCAGGAGGTCTCAGGTTCAAATCCAAGGAGGAATAAAAATCCCCTTGTGGCCACGGAGGTTCAAATGTTGTGACTCGGGGCTATCTGCAAAGCAGGTGGTCGCCCTGGGATTAGTCGGCTCGCATAGCGGGTTGGATATCCAGGTTAATCAAAAAAAGAAAGTGCATAAACTCTCTCTGTGGTATCTCCCGATTTCTTTTATGTCTAATTATGGACATCACAACATTATAACCAATGTGTTTGATAGCCTAAAAGATTATAGTTCAGCAGCTAACAAACATCAAGTTCAGTTAGCAAATAAATTGAAAATGTGAGCAGAGACGCAACCCAGAAGTGTCATACCACAGTATTTGGCCGCATGTTGACAGCAGACACACCATCAGAGAGGCTGCTGGAAGGAAGTGTGTCATGATAAGGAGGCCTTTCTTTCCTGTCCCACGTAGAAACAAGTGTACGCGTTCTTCCTAGATATATAGTTGAATATTATCATTCATGCTTGTTTATTGCTTTAGAACAGAAAGCATGAACAACAATGGGTATACCTCTTCGTTTATTTTCCATAGAGTAAGTATCTCTATTTGGTCGTGGTAGACGTCCTTCATCTGCAACAATTCATAATAAGAGTGATACTTAGTTATAAATGAAGCCATCATTATTATAATGCAAGATACCTAAAAGCAAACTTACAAGTTAACATGACAGGTTAAAAAAACAACTAAGGTGCTTCACTTATAAGTTATAAAAGAAGCAAGTATACTGTAGTTTTTTATGCCAATGGAGCTAGAAGATCGTTGGTGATTTCCAATACTCATGAAGGCCCAAATACTGGGAAACACCCACCTGTCAACTCCTGTATATATGGAGTTTTAGAGTTTCTTCTACTTACATCATGGCTCACCAATTGTGATGAACTTTAAGCTTCTAGTATAGGATAACAAAGAAGAAGAAAAGAATGCAATATGACTGGATTCTATATGATGTTCAGAGTCTCTTCTACTGATCAAATAAGCTATTGATTGACTCACTAGTCCTGCCTGTTATATTAGTTGGTAAGATTTGTCACTTACATTAGCTTATGCTAACAGAAAGCCATTATGTATAGTGTGATCCATTACTAGAATAGCACATACCTAGCTGCATGAAATCTTTGTACCTCATAATTATTGAAAATACAATTTTGAATTCCAGAATTGTTTCTTTGTAATTACAATCTGTACTCACAGTGCCATTCTTCTTTTCATAAAGGATAAGCGACAGATTGCAACAACAGCATGTGAAGAATACCAAATAATACACAAATTACCACATAAAAAACAGCCGATAAAGATATATGAAGTTGCCGGTTTAGGGCTTTTCAGATTAAGGAACCCCTCTAACACAAACAACAGATTGAAGCTCAGTAACAAGGATACACAGGTTTATAGATTATTAGATGGGCTACCAATCAGACAGTAACATGCTCATTAGTGACGAAGTTGGTTGGTCAAAGAGAAGAAACTTAGGGAATGAAGAATCCAAACACATTGAAGCCTGTGACAGCTGGGGGTTATAATTGTATCCTAGTTTATGGACAAGTAACATTACCTGCTAGTGAAAAAAAAATCATAAAGAAGAGGGTTGCTAATCCTAGCAAAGTAAAACAAGGAAAAAGCAAATAGATTGGCTCAAAATTGACGGTGCAGTCAATTTCAAAGAGGTAGGTAAGAACATAATTGTTCTACTAAGGCTGGCATTACTATGAATCAATGAATGAAAAGTCAGGCAGTTTTATATCCTTAGATTAAGAACTATCACAAATAAATGGATCATGCCTCACAAAGATAATTTTGTAAAATCAACACGCAGCATCAAGTGTCTCAAAAGATGATACATGTTTGATACTGATCCGCTGCTTGTGAATTCGACTTTACACTCTCTGAAAAGTATTTTCCTTTCTTCATTGAAACGAATACATCAAAGTATTTAAACTTAATCTTTCAAGAGAGCAATGACTGTCATACTAACATATAGATTAAAGCAAGTCCAATACCACAGATAAAATATCATTTTTACTTAATAACATTTATAGTTTAACAGCCTTGATATTAAGCATGTGCTATAGAAGTGTGTCGAATCACTGTTGCTAGGTACTAAACTACACCATGACAGTTAAATTCTCATATGTTTAATGACATCTTTGCTGAAAAGCAGCCCTATGTTGACAGTGATTCAATAAAAGAACGTTGGCATAAACAGGAAATTAAGTGACGGATGAAGCACAGCAAAATTGCTCACTGCTTCAGAGATGATCCTAGCTCTAGTGATTAATATACATAAGAACCAACTTTCAGAGAATCAAATACGTACAGATTTCAGGCTGGTAGCTTGGATGCGACTCTGTCACTACATTCTGTTCAGGCTTTCCAGAAACAAAACACCTGTCATCATCGAAGTTTGGCTCCTTTGCAGGAATTACAAAACCCGGGTCTTTCATTGAAGTAAAAGCATTTCTGTCAGCAACCCGACTTGATTCAGTGTCACTCATGTCACTCAGAGACTGTAAAGAAGATAGTGGCTTCTCCACTTCATCTTTTGTATTCGAGAACTTGCGAGAATCGGGTGTTTTAGATAGTAGCATTGTTGGCGTTACTCTTCCAGAAATACCTTCTCTTCTTAAATCGACAGCCTGCTCAGACCTCACGCTGTTTCTGGGCACGATTACAGGTGCAACATCTAACCTGTTGAAAGTTGACACGTTTTGTGTTGAATGGGTCTTTGTAACACTTCGCTTCGAAGTTACTGGTGCACTGGGAACTGAAACCGAAGCAGTTGGATTGATCTTTTGGACAACATTAGGATACATCTTTTGAGGGATACCAGGTACATTTCCTGTGGCTTCATTATGTACACAGTAATTTATAAATGTCATTGGCAATGTCTTCAAAATCATATTTCCACATCAGAGATTTATATTTGCTGCTTTTAAATCACTTTACTATGATAGGACATGATATATTTTTAATAGCATTTGTCAAAAACCATGCACATTAGCAATAAAATTTCAATTTGAAAACAGCGCAACTGGGGAAGGACTCCATTCTTTGGTATGCTTCAGAAAGAGAAAAAAATCATCATCAATGGCTCCTTAAATATGTTGCAGAAAGTTTAAGGGTAACAAGTGTTCTTCAGTGACTTCCATTTACAAGTGACATTTGATCTGGAACAAAGGGAGTCAATACTTTGAAAACATATGAACTAAACTAAATATTCATTAAATATGAGATTTAAAATGGTGACATAATAATTGAAGAGGCAACAAAATAGATAAGAAAAGGCATACATGATAAGGTTTTAGAATCTTTGGTCGGTTCTGAGTTTTGAGTAACTGAAAGCCTCCCCAGTGATTTTGTTTCCTTCACCATTGGATCTGAACTTTGTGAAATGGATAGCCTGCCCAAACTGGTCTTTGTGGTATTCTCGGTCAGAACAGAAAGGGTTCCACTTGCATTAGATATTTGTTCTTGATGACCATTTGACTTGGAAACGTTATATGGTTCAATTCTCTGCTTGGAATCAATGATAGCACAAGAAACATCAGTTTGAATTAAGAAAAGAAACAACATGCAATGGTCAAGCTAATATTTATCAGAATTTTCTATTACCGAGATATCTACAACCCAAACTCCTACACAGCTTTGATTGTAAGAACATCCAAGAAGCTTCCCTTCATGCATATTAAGATCTGACAATTTGGACCATCCCACATCCACGGCATCATGACATCTGATTGGTTCCCATGAGAACACCTAAAACACATAAAGTAAATATACTTGACATATATGCAACATTTTGTAATCTACCCGCATTGCTGGTCATAATAAAAGCATGTCTACAAGAAGATCCTACCTTCAGGCTCTCATGCAAACCACATAGAAGCGTTCTCCCATCAGGATTAAATGTCATACAACGTACTCCACTAGTCTGAAATATAAAGCGAAATAAACATGTATGGGAAAAAATAAAAAAGAAAGAGAAGTATAATATGCAATGATAAGAGTAGACTATCTAGCTCATTTCATTTGTTATTTCTAGCATGTGGGTTCCATATATGCAAATCCTCAAAGTTGGAAATGGGACCTACAAAATGGAGATTAAAAAACGGAATCAAATATGAAAATAATCCAAGACAAGTTGACCTCAGGGTATACCTCTGGACCAGCAGAACCTATGAGTTCCAAAGTCTCAAGGTCCCAGAATTTAACGGTTTTATCAGCTGAACCTGCCAGATAGGAATGCAAACAAAGAGGTTGATGATACTTGGAAAACAAAGTATTAACCATAAGATAATTCTATTTGGTGGGACTGATTAGCCGGTGCCCGGTTGAGCTATGAACATTTTCAAAAATGACTATAATTGCGAGTGTATAACCTCTATATGAATGATGAACCTATAATTAACATTAAAATATTTTTTCATTTTCTCATGGTAGTAGCAATAACAATGAAGAACAGAAATAAAATCAACATCAGCTCAATAAGAAATCGGCTATCTGTTATCATGAAAGGTAATGCTCAGATGGCACTAGTTGATTCTAATCAGTTAGTTCATTAGTTGCAATGCTCACATGGCATGGCTTAAATTGTAACGCATTGTGCTTGCAACATTTACAAAGAAAACAATAGCATATGTGAACCAATCAGTCTGTTTGAACACAAGACATGTACCCTTACACAGTCTAACTGGACGTGCCTAGAGAAGGTTACTGAAAAAAGTTTAAAAAAAATAATCTAGTAACTGAAAAAACTGATCAAAAAAGAAAGCACGTCATCATAATTAAACCAATATAATATAATCCAGACATCAAGTAGCATTACAGTCTAATATGTTAACACTATGACAGTGAATTACTAACAACCGTAAGTAGCTAGTGCAGCAGAAGCAAGGGGTCTTCACAGGAAAGGCTGCTTTACCCTTTGGGGTAGAGGACAAAGATATGCACAAATCCCACCTCCCAAGACCCTACTTTCGAGTGGTATATATTGGGTTCATTTGTTTTGGTTTAGTTTGTTGTAAGTAGCTAGTGTGACTATAATGCTCTGGGTATTCGTGCACCATATACCACTCACATCAAACACAAACATTTTTGTATGCAATCCTACATTGCAACTAAACAAGCTAAGACCTCACACTCCACATGTTAAAATCAGAGCACATTTATCGTGGAAAGAGTTGGTTCGACCACAAAGATGGTTTGTTTATCGGTAAACACACTAACATCAACCCCAAACACAGGTAGAAGAGCTGGCTTAGAACTCTATAAGGATTGAAGCTCAAAGTCAAAAAAGAATGCCATGCCTGAGATAATAAATACTTGCTAAGCCTATTTCTGCCAATCTGTCAAAGATTGAATATAGATTTTGTACCCAAAAGTAGCAGCTCTAGGCATGCAGGCATGCAAGAAATGAAGAGTCAGTAAGGATACTGTCAAACACAAAATATTGTTCGGTATATATTGCCATGACACAAGTCAGATATCATGTAAATTGTCATATATCTTGCTCATTAGCATTATATAGAGCCAAGAGGAAGATAGTACTTTCAGGGTGTGTCTTTCAGAAAGTAATAATAATTTTAACAGAAAAAGAACACAAGCAATTCAAATTTCTGACTCCCTCTACTAAAGCAACATTTTTAACATCATTGAACATGTAAAAACAATGTTGCAGAATATGTTCTAACCTGTAGCCAGCAAGAACTCATGTGGATGAAAATCTATGCATTGGACCTGGCCTTCATGAAACTTGAAATCATGTAATAGCTTTCCGGCAGTTAGATCCCACAACTGTAAGAGCAATCAAATATTGCAGACATCACAAAACGGAAGTTACAAATAAAGAAAAGTATGTATAAAAGTTATGCTATAAAGTTTCAGCTCTTCAGACACACATCTACTAAGCCTGACTGCAATTAGTATTTCGAAGCTTTCATTTTATACCGTATGCATTATGAAAACAGAAAGTGGCCTGACCTTCACACTGTTGTCCTCCCCACCAGATACTACCCATCGTCCATCTGGTGTAAATCTTATTGCATTTACCCCTCGTGTATGTCCCTTGTATGTATGTATACACCCTTTCCGTCTGATATCCCATATCTTCAGATTCGTGTCTAGGGATCCAGAGGCGAAAAACTCCCCAAATGGATGGAAGTCCAAGGATATGCAATTGGAACGATGACCGGTAAGAGTGCGAACAACTGAAACCATATGGCAACGGAAGTACATTATTTACCACAATACACAAAATGGATAATGATCAATGAACAAATAAATTATATAGCAAGCATACTTTTTGCCTCTTCTAAATCCCACAGCTTAATTGTACCACTTGCAGCTCCTGCAGCTACCAGCACTTCAGAAGAATCAAAGCTGACAGAATCAATTCCACTTGAATGGCCAGACAAACTCTGTAATAAGAAGGCAATAGCAGAGATCTAGATAAAAAAAACTAAAAAGTGTGCCATGACCAACAAACATACACATTAAAGTTGAAGTAACTGCTTCAATAAATTCATGATTATTAATGAGTTGCCAATTAAATAAAAAAGGATCCACAATAACATGAACAGGGAACCAGCCGGAAGGATTATGAACAGGGAAAAAGCCACAATCAAGAATCAAATTGTCAAAGAAGAATTGGGCAATTTACCAGGATAGCATTAGGCTTGCCAATAGCCCATAGATTAACCTTGTGATCTTCTCCTCCTGTTACAAGAACTCTTGAAGACTTCCTCCCAATCTTGAGGCAGTTCACACTAGAAGCATGAGCTACAAATTCCTCTATAAATCATCTTCAGTCAAGTTTACAAATCTTAACAATTCTTGCATTTGAGATTACTGATTTCTTCTATTCACCACTAGATTGAAAACAAACTTCCCTAAGTTCAATAAAAAAAATCCATGGGCATTTGAGATCACAGACACACATTTTCCATATAAAGATCAACCCACTTCCCTAGATCAGGAAAATGCGGGACCAAAAAAAAGGATTTAGTTTGTTGTTTTCTAATCCTCCTAATGCCGCATCAGTTATGTTCCGATACTAAAATAAAAAAGCAGAAGTAGGAAACAAGAAAATAACACACAGGTAATAAATATTGGAAAAGGATACGTAGTTTATAAGCACGTTTGGTGGTCGCCATAGAAAGACTGTCTCGAGAATCTGATGGGAACACAGAAAACCCTAGTAGAACACTGTCATTAGCTGTTGGTTTCAAAACACCCAGATCTCAATATCCATACACATTTGCTGCTTATTCCGAGCTTCCCCTTTTCGAAAATATATAGAGATCTCAAACCCTAGAGGAAAATAATGCCAGAGAGCTTCCGTTTGAACAAAATCTCTGCTGACAATACAAATTTATGCTGGAAGACAACAAAAAAGCTTCAAGAATCTCCTTTCACAAACAATATAACAGAACCCATTCCCATTACATTCAAATTTGTGAGAAACGAAAGAAAAATAAGGAGGGAGGGAAGGAGAGAGGGAGAAGGACGCTTTCAAGTTTTTCAAGATCTCTGAAAACCCAGTTCGGTTGATTAAAAAATTAATCAAAAAATTTACTACTACAATCGAGATGTCATTTTTACCACCTACCAACCTTATTTGCTTGAACAATGAGAGGGAAAACCACTCAAATCAATGGATATCATGCTTATGAGTTGCAGTCGGCCCCACCGTAATAAAGTGAATCACCATGGCTTGTTTCAATTTCAATCTTATAAAATCCTCGAATGGGTCGGGTTGGTTATGTCCATGGGTTTGGAAAAGGTTTTGGGTTTTTGTTTGATTTATTTCATGATAAAATAAAAATATTGAAATCTTCTTAATTGTTATTTATTTATTAAGGCAGTGTTTGTTTAGGCTGCGTTTGGTACCGGACAAGAATGAGATAGAAACTGAAATATTATTATTTAACCCTCATTTGATATATATATATATATATATATATATATATAGGGGCCTATTCAAGGGAGAACTGAGTTGTTTGTGGTAACTGTGAGAACCAATATTAATCACAAATCAATAGATAAATTAAGAAATTTATAAATTTGGTAATTTTAAATTAAAATCTTAATGCAAGGATATTTTTGGTATTTTAAAACTCTCATTTCTCCTCTCTTCTCTCTCCGGCCACCGTCCTCCGGTGATACCACTATGATACCACTGTGATACCTAAAAATATTGACTCTGTTAAACAAAAAATACATTGTGATACCTAATCATATATAAGATGCATAGTGATACCATTGTGTTACATCTTCGATCGACCACACAAACGACATCAATGTGATACCCAAACACACATATGATGCATTGTGATACCATTGTAGTATCACCGGAGGACGGTGGCCGGAGAGAGAAGAGAGGAGGGAGGAAAGTTTTAAAATACCAAAAATATCCTTGCATTAATATTTTAATTCAAAATTGTCAAAATTATAAATTTCCTAATTTATCTATTGATTTGTGGTTAATATTGTTCTCACAGTTACCACAAACAATTCAGTTCTCCCTTGAATTGGCCCCTATATATATATATATATATATATATATAACCTTAACATGGTATTTGTTTTACTGATCATCATCGCTAGTTGCGGCTGCGACCATCAGCCACCCCCACCTCCACAACCACCACTAACCACCACCGACCACTGACCACCTGCATAACCACCATCGTCACTACCACTATTGGTCATCTCCACCTTCTCTTCTATTGCAACAACCACTTCTACCACCTCCACAACCATTGAAGGCCACCGACCACCACCGTCCATTGCCACCACCACTACCACTGTTGGCCACCTCCACCTTCTCTTCTATTACAACTCATCCACCACCTCCACAACCATTGTCGGTCCACCGACCAACACCGTTTGTCGCCACCACCATGGGCCACCTCACCTCCACCATAACCACCATCATTGCCAACCACAACCATCGCCACCACTATCAGCTACCACTACCATATCTACCATATTCAAGTCCTCCACAACTACCACCGTCCATCTCCACCACCACTAGTATCATTGGCCACCGCCACCACCACCTCCACCATAACTACCACCACTGCCCACCATCACACTACCTCCACCACACACGCCACAACTACCTCCTCCACCACTGTCGACCGTCATTATCCACCATCTTCACGTTATCCACAACCACCATCGTCCACCAATTACCAATACTTCTATCTCCACAACCATTGTTGTTGCGACAATTTTCATCGTGCGTTCACCAATTGATAAGGATCTTCCAAACCGAATTACATGTAATTTCTCCATTGTATGATGTTTTTTCAAACTACCATCAATTATATAAAAGATTTCATTCAAATCTGGTACTATTTTATATCTGTCTATATGAAAATTGTGTAAAAATGTTTATAAATTAAATTATTACTTTATTTGTGTTAATTACAACTATTATATGATATATAAAATCATAAAATAACTTTTGAGGGCATACTTATCTAGTTTTATCATGTTCAGTCTTAATCGTACCAAAAACCAAATTGACACTTGTTCAATCTCGTCCAATTATGTCCAATCATGTCTACGTACCAAATACTACCTTATAACTTAATAAATTGAAAGAAGTGAGGAATCCTTTTTTTGACTCCAACTCTCTCATTCCGGTCGTCGCTTTTTTATGGTTGCTTCCAAAGTTGTTGCTTCTGCTTTAGCCACTCGAATTTTCGATATTCCTTTTTATTCCTCATCAAACGGATGGCATCTTCTCCTGGAAATCCTAGCTATTCTTAGCATGATATTGAGAAATCTCCCGATTGTTGATATTAATACATGCATTTTTTTATCAAATACCTTGTGATTCATGTTTTTTTACTGTATTTTCCATTTGACTGTAAGTCAATGATATCTGGTTCTTTTTTATTTATCTGTTTTCCTTGTATTTGTCTGTTAATATGTTTTCAAACTAAGTGTCCACAATAAAAATAACGCATGATTTTAAGCATGTATAATTATTTTATTTTTTTTGTTACAATTTTACACTTAAGTAATACTTCTATCTTATCAACTCCTAAATATTTGTTCATGAAAAAAAATGTTATATTCATATGATTCAAACAAACTGTTTCACTTTTTCTCAGCAGGTGTGGATGTGTCCAGTTCACAAGGGAACGGTATTCCCATGGTTTGAACTCCAAGTGATGTTAACATTGCTTGTTTTGTTAATGACACCGAGCCACATCGCAATAAACTGATTGGATGGTGTGTGTTTTTGGGTAACCATAGAAATTTGGATCAGCTTACATGCATCGACTAAACTACTGGGCGGCCATAAATGGTGTGTAATCATTGCAAGTAAATCTGTATGGCTACAAGGGATTTCTCAGTGTCTAAATTCAAATTCATGAAAGATAAGATTTCTACTACATCCCTGAAATAGTGTGTCATAACCTAATCAGTTGATTTGATAGTGCTTGAACGGGTTGGGAAAGGTTAAGTTGGTTATCTCTTTGTAATGTAGTACAAATACATTTGAGCAGATGTAATTTCATCAAGATAATATATATATATATATATATATATATATATCTAATTTTACTCTCTTTGAATTTCTCCATCTAGATCTACAAATGTTTTATGGTATTATAGCTGAGGAAGGTCTCGTTACCTTTTTACAGTGTTCACCATACGCATATGATAAGCAACTTGTTTACTCTAGGTTTTTTTTAACGAGATTTATTCTATTCAGTGCATATCTGGTTTTCTTTGTGAAGAGCAACAGAGATCGAAGCTTTATGTATGTGATTCCTTCGTTGTAGTGGTCTTGCGAGTTTCTTCATGAACAACAACGATCGAAAAGTATTTGTCAACAACAACATTTGGCTGAATTGTCGGTTCAACCCCCATGGTGGAGGCTTATCTTTGCTATACATTAACTTCAAAAAGTCGTTTTCGTCAAGAAATCTTTCCACGAGATAATTTTATAATTGGTTGGTTCTCTTACATATGCATGTTGCCTTAATCCCATGATTGAACAGTTAGATTTACGGTTTATATAATGCGAGCATGCATATATAAATTCAGTACTAAACAATTTTTATGTTTTTATAGATATTATACGAATAAAAGCAGATGATTATTGACCTACAAAAAGTTGTGATCAATTTCTAAATTTCTCGCCTGACCCTTTCATATATTTTTCTACCTCATTCACTCTCGACATTTGTACTGAAGTACGTGTCAGTGTTAGTTCTAGCCTTAGATTCTGTCGATCCCTGACTTGAATCAATACATAATTTATGTTTATCACAGTACACAGTTTGTTTTAACAACTTAACCATTTGTAGGGATTACTTTTAGTAGTTTATATGATGTCCTCGACATTGTGGACATCTACCCAGAGATGTTGTCTTCGGTTACTATTCAACCATGTTAGCGCTGTTCAAAATGGTTCATCAGTTTCGAGCATACTGAGTTTGAGGTTTAATGGCTTCTACTTTGCCATTGAAATTCATAACGCTTCATAACTAGCCTAATACATGAAATGGTCATCGTCGTAGGAAAAGATCTTCTGATGTCATGGTTACGAAAAATAAGTCCCGAGACCATGCGGGACCTGTGTGACGAGGGTCTACTTTTTCGTACGGGGCCCTCTTGAGTATGTCTCTAGGATTCAACTCGTGAACAACACGACCATATTCATTGAGATTATGTTTAGTCAGTTTTCTCGTTAAAAAAAAACTACAAATTGGTTGTACAACGTCTAATATTTGTTACATTGTTTTTTGACGAATATTCGAAGTATTTTGCTTATTTACATGTAACACCCGTAATTTTCTTACTATCTTTTATTTCGAGTTCATCTATAAATGCAGTTCTTTAGTGCTAAGTTAAGCTCGTTTAAATGTTTTTGGGCGTTTTAGTGTTGATACTCTCAACGAAACGAACTAATAAGGATGAAAAAAATGGGCCAATCAGTTTCAGAGCTAGCTTGTTCGCTAGTTTAACTAGCGGTGAAACTAGCGAATACCACTGTTTGATTTCATTGATAGTGCTCGGGATAATTTCAGAGCTAGTTTGTTTGCTAGTTTAACTAGCGAATGCCTCTATTTAATTTCAATCAAAGTGCTCAGGCTAGTTTCAAAGCTATTTTGTTCGCTAGTTTAACTAGTGGTGAAACTAGCGAATACCACGGGCCAGCGTTTTAAGGGCCGATTTTTGGGTTTTCACTCTCATTTTCTCACCAAACTCTCTTCTCTCCCAAATTTCTTCCTCCCTTTTAATTGAATGCGGTTTCCTTAGTATTTTTGTGTTCCGCCATAACCAATGGTAGATCGAGTCTCCCCTGTTGTTTTATGATTCATTGCGCCCTTCCAAGGGTAAAGGCGATCTGATTATGTAAATTACCTGATTAAAGTATGTTTATGGTTTTAAATGTTTTACCGCTTTATTCAATAACAATTTGATCTCACTAGGTTTTAAGCCTAATATTTTTTTGTTCTCAAATAACATGTATATCCGGTTCACTTAGCGGCACATTCCCAAGAGTTGAGTGGGGCATTGTTGCCAGTAAAGGCATTTTTTGGAATTACACCTTTGTGTGTAATTGTGGAGTTTGCGAGATGCATTTCTTTTGAGGATTTTAGTGACACCCGAATGTAATCTATATTTCAAATTAGTATAGATTAATCGGTTGTTGGCTAACATCCATTATTCAGATATAAATAATAAACTCTTACACTATTTTCCCCACTCTCGAATGATTTTATATTCGTAGGTTATTTTTCCATTTTAATATTCGATTTAAGTTGTCTTCTATTTTAGGGGTATTACATTACATATCATCAATTATAAGTTATTGTGTTCCAACCCTCCATCCACAGATATTCACATTCAGTGTTTTTCTACTGATATTTAATACATTTAATTAAACTTGCAACCATAAAATATCAGTTTAATGGTATTTGTTATATCACAAATGTCATTTATTTGAACAATTATTGAAAGTGATCTAAGTGGGGAACATGTCTTATGATACATTCTTTAAAAGGGATCAATATATAGTTATTACCATAATAAAAAGTTTTGGTAAAAGAAATAACATTCTAATTTATGATGATTCTTGTTTATGTTTACTGCTTGAATACTTAACGGGAAGTTTGAATTCACTATGTATGTTCCTTACGCAGTATAGGTGAATATATAGGCTTGAAGCCTGAAACCAGTTCAGGATCCGTTAGAATCAGTTACAAGAGGTTTTGAATCAATTACTAAAAGGCCGACCAATCATAATCTTTCGAAGCTGAATTCCATGTCACGCTAAATGTGGCTTTTCTCATTTCCTATGTTACGTCAAACATGGGACGATAAGTTTTATCCTGTCCTTTAAAGATATATATGCATTATCACAAACCTTTTTAACATCTAGTCATCTACCAAAGAGTTTGAACAATTAGAACTTGACTTGACTTTAAATACGGTCCTTTTTGAAAAGAACGGAGGATCCTTTTGAACAACCTGTTATAATAAGAAAACCTTGCATATTGAAATTAAAGTGAATAAAATAATGATTCCAACATCTTTAAAAATGGTAAAAGAGAGATGTGGCAACCAATTTTTTTAGGTCCATATCTCTAAAAACCAAATAGAAGATTCCACAAGGAATTAAACTCACAAATGAGGCAAGCCAAACTGTTGAATCAAAAAAAAGAAATATACAGTTACAAAAGATTCTTCTATTCAACAAAATCCAAGAAACCTAAGAAACCAATCCTATTCAAACATTATCAACCATGATACATGAACAAATGATTGAAAATGCAAACACACAAACCAAACCACCATTAACAATACAAAGAGAGAGAGAATCAGAGCTCTGAAAGGATTGCAGGAATGTAATGGGACAACTCGGCTGTGAGCGACTGAAACCCGTTCACCAGTTGTGTGTGGAAATCCTGGTCTTCATCCCCGATGAGTCTAAAATGCACCCGAATGGCACGTTTACACACAGCCATGAATTCAAGAAGAGCAGCAATGAGTTGTTGCAGTTCCTGAGACCGAAGTCTTGTTGCAGGCTCACCCGATAAGAAAGCTGTGCACACACTCAATACACCACTGTTCACCTACACATATAGTCATTTTTAAATTAGAATGTAACCATTTTTCACATCATACATATACAATATGAGTGATTGCTCATGGTTAAATCAAACGAACCCAATATATCTCAGGGTATTGTTTGTTAGCAGCTTAATGAGACTCACTTATTCGATCAGCTATACATGACTAGTAGTGACTTAATGATATAGCAAGTGGCTTATTAAGTAACCTTCTAGAGGGAGCTTTATGCAGAAAGCCAAGTTTTTTCCAAAGCTAACTCTCCCAATTAAAGAACACGCTCCTTCCATCTATGAAAAAACCCTCCCAAACAGAAACCTAACAGATTAATCCACATAGATGGCTTTTTCCATACATGACTTAATGAAAAACCAACCAAACAGCCCCTCATGTCGGATGTATGTAGACGGTAACTCTGCCCCAAAGTGTAGAGAGGCAAGTGATCACTCATGGTTGTGGAAGCAAATAAGGGACATAATGGCCGAAATATGAACTCAGTAGAGGTAGGACGGGGTAGGATGTATGCAGACCTTACCTCTATCCCTAAGGGGTAGAGATGCAAGTGATTAATCGTGGTTGTGGAAACGAATAGGGAATACATGATGGCAGAAATATGGAACCCGAAACATAGTCTCAAACCCTATATCTCAAACAACTATAAAAATTTAAGCAGAAGGAACTGATGACATGGGATTGGGGTATTACACTATCCCAGAACGGAAACAAGAGTGAAGATCACGTGAAAAATTTTCACTTTCGTGAGAAGGTGAGAGAACAAGTGAAAATACTTTTATCTAGTGTAAATGTTACGTTATATTGTGTAAAGATTGTAACTTTCACACTGTCTTCAAAAACTGTATTGAAAGGTTACATTATATTGTGTGAATCTTGTAACATTTACACGATATAAAGGTATCTCTTCCCAGTTCTGACGACAAACCTTCACATAATGATACCTTCATGTTTTCTCACGTTCTCACGAAATGGGGTTGTTCTCACCGGAACCCAACCCATGGAAACGATAAATTAATATTTATAAAAGACAATCAAGAAAATCCCCAACTTTCCCTTTTTAGCCTTACTTCTCTAGAACATGGACTTCGGAAAGACTTTAAAAATAAAAATCATTTCCAGCAATAAAATGGAGAAATCGAGCACTATCATGCTAAAGCTACACCTATGTTTCACTCGTGCTTTAATATCCCGAAAGATATGACTTCCATTAAGGTACAAGTCACAATAGCATGATTGTGCTGGATGTGGCCACTAAGGGAAATATCAATCTTTGGAAAACAAAATTAAAAACTGAAACTCCGAATATCACCGGAATAAATAGAGTACGATGAGTTATGTAAAGAACACTCACTTGCACTGCAACGGATCCCTGAAGTATCCTCTGTAAACTCTGGAGACGTGGAAGCTGATCTCCATCAGAGCTACGAGGCTCTTCGAGTTCATTTCTTAGGGCAGCTGTTCGAGTTTCGATCATACCAATGGCATTCTCCACTGGAGAAAACTCAAGCGATTCGGATTTAGTAACCAAGAGCCTATTCACTAAAGCAGGAAATGAACCCTCGGTTTGAACAACTGTTCGTCGCTTCCACTGGTCTTCCAATCCACCTTGGGTCTTACCATTTTTCGTGAAAGGGGTATCAAACAAGAAACGGTCAAACACACGTGCACGAACGGATCCAGTAGAAAGAGAAAAAATCCTCTCCCTTCTGCTTCCAAGATCCTCATCTTCCATGACTGGATCAACAGCAGTAATTTGCAGATAGCAGACACCAGGCTGCAACTCGTCTGCTTTTACTTGTCTCGAGTCGGGAATTATGTGCAAGGTATGATTACCATCCATCCTCAACTCGTATATATGACTAAGCTTCTCCATTATGTCACCCAACCTTACATCACGAGGCTCTCGGTATACATATTCTTTTTTATCAAGCTTCCCAAACTTTTCACCATAGAATCCCACCCGATAATATGTGGCATCTGTAAATGGTATTGGACTTGATTCTTGTTCTAGGATTGATTCATAGATATTGGTTAGCATACTATGGCATTTGGCTAGCTGTCCATAAGACCTCCTGCTCTTATAAACTGGAATTACAAGTTCCAAAATGCTTCCACAAAAATGATACAGCTCAGCTTGAGAGAAAAGCTTATTTGCAAGCTGCAAGTATTTGACAGCAGAATCAACCGTGAGTTTCGAAGCACCATATCCTTCCACTTCTGCTGCAGAGGTCTCAGATGTGATCTCAGTGCTGACCATCGGGCATATTTTGCGCAAAGCAGTGACATGATTATTGCTCCAAACTCCATCATTTCTGCTCACAAGAGCCTATAGGAAAACACAATATATAAGTGCAGGAGTTAGACAGATATTTGTGCTGTTAACCCCAATGTGGTGGCCTGTTCACAAGTTTGCTTAACCATTCCATAAGTGTGAGGTCTTTGGCTCAACCCAATTTTGGGACACACTTAGCATCAACTGAACCCCCAAGACTCTGTTAACTAAAATAAATAATTTGTAGCAATGGTTAAACCGAAAAGCTTTTCTAATTTGTGGCAATGGTAATCCAGTAAGGTAACAGTTAATTCTATGATAAAGTAATGATAAAATAACACCTATATCACATAGGCTATGTTTGCAAACTACCTGATAAGCTAGCTGTTAGCCGAAAAGCTAGTTGTTAGCTACTAAGCTAGTCATGTTTGCTAACTCTAGCTGATAAGCAAGATGACAATGTAAAATGATCTAAAAAGCATGTTGAAAACTTAATTGGAAAAATATAGAGGGCATAATTGGAAAAAAGTAGAGAAAAAACCCTGGAGCTTATGGCTAACCAAAAAGGCTTTTTCAATAAGCTCAAAAAACAATCTACAGTGGAAAGATGCATGAATATGCCAAGTGAGATCAGCTATCAGCTCATGAGACTGTTTACAGCATTCACCTGCATTACAACACCAGCAACAGCAACAGCACATTGTGCAGCTTCAGCCCAAGATTGCATTTCCTGATGTGCATCACATAGATGCAGTAACCACATTATATGAAGATCTGGCACTGGAGCAAATGCCATGGCAAGCTTATAGAAACTCTCTGCAGCCGCATACCTATCTGTGTTCATAAGTGATCCCTGTAGTACATGAACCAAGTTATAATATTGGTGAAAAGCATTTTTCTATATTGGACATCAGAAAGAAAGTAAAAGATCTTCAGACTTACCAAAAGTGCATGTTCCAGACTAGCATCAAGGGCCAGAAGAAGGCTATTAGATAAAAATTTCACTTCTGACCAGGACCACCGACTTTCTGTTGATTTTTCTGGGATGGCAACAAGTGAAGACTCTGGAAGTCCGCATTCCGTAAGTAAGTTCCCGCTCTTGCTTTCATCTGACATTTCCTCTAGGGATCTACGAAGTCGGCATGCTTCACCACTTTCTTCAAGTGTTCCATCAGATTTCATCTGAGTTACTTGGACATCAGACATCAGCTCTGACAAAGTAATTGTAAGCATGGCCCTTAATCTTGCTGTCTGTGTGAAGTGAGAGAAAGAGCTCTGCGAAATTGAAAGCAGTAAACTAAAGGTAAATAGCGGTTACTCTGTTAGTGATCATTTAAGTCAGGAACTGAAAAAAGCACTAGTACCATCATGAATCACCCCTATTTCTAAACAATATATTGACTGCCAGCATAACTCTAAATCCTCTCATGGCAAATGTCAGAAGTATTATGGTGGTGCATGCGTGTCTAGTGTACTCCAGCTTCGTTCCCACTCAGTAGCAGATCTTGATGAAACCTCTAAGGAACCGCCTATAAGTGAAAAACTGAGGAACACCCTGATAACCGTTCATCTAGACGATATGCATGTAATTTGTAAGCAGTTTGTCTGGTGTGCACATGTGCATAAAAACCAAAAAACGGCTTCAATTACTTGTATGCACATGTGCATACTGTCCAGATGAATGGTTACAAGGATTTTCCTCTGTTGGGGGGTTTTCCCCTGAACCACCCTCTCTCTCTCTCTCTTTCTCTCTCTCTCTCTCTCTCTCTCTATATATATATATATATATATATATATCTTGATTTGCATTTTATCCCTCCCCTATATATATATATATATATATCTTATTAGTGGTGAAAGTTAAACTATGTAAGGGTTGTAGAAGGTTTTGCATACTAATATAAACAGGCTCGTGAATCTATCTCGTTTAAAACTCTATTAGAACATAAATTTTTAACACCAAGTATTTAGAGTAACAGAACAATGAAATTGGTCTACACAATAGAAGGTACTAAACTAAAAAGTGTGTACACATACCCTGACAAGGATTTGCAATCCAATCACAGCTCTTTTCCTGATATTCTCATTACGGAAAACAGCGAGCCTAAGAAGATGGAAAGCAATTTGTTTTAAGAAACGATCGTTTTCCCTTGCCATTAATGTTGCCCCATGAAGCTGAAATACACTGTTGAATACTGGGAATAGTGCTTTCCAGAATGCCAGTGCTTGACTGCGTGAGAAGATACTTGTAAATATGGATGTCATGCAATCCAACTTTCCATAATCAGTTGCAATACCATGTGATGCAGCAGATCTAGAGAACTTCTCTGTTATTTCCAGGATTTGAAGACTGATAGCAGCACTAAGGTTTTCTTCCCAAAGTTCCTGAAGCAAAACGACAATTATTATATAGATAAACATAAATTTCACCATGATTTAGAAATCAGTAGAGCAAATTGTCATTTAGAATTCAACCATCAAGAATGAATACTTCAATCAATAGAATCTACATTTATTGAGTAGGCACATGTACTTCATAAAACATACAAGTTTTTGCCTCAAAACTGGATGCAGAGATTCCCTCAGTGCTTGGGTTGAAGCTCCAATTCTAGAAGATTGTGCCTGAGCAAGAGCTTCTCTTAAGGAAAATGGTTGGCTAGGAGAGCTCAGCTGGGAGTTCACTCTCTGCCATAAATATCCATTCTCAGATGCACCCTGTGGCTGCATTTGATGTGAACAACTGAGATGCAATAACCAGGCACCAGAATGACTAAATAATATATATCATAAATATTGACTGCATGCAAGTTGCCTCTTGGGGTTAAATCACATTCCATTACAACTAGAAAGAAAACAATCTAATGACATACCCGAACTTCTTGTCGAGATGCCTCAGAGAGATACTGATTAATGGCAGGAGAAAGCCTATCAGAGTACTTTGGAGACATAGGTGCATCAGCAACTGGACTCCGAGAACTGCCGCCTATAAGCAAGCTATCAACAGTTTTTCTGTGCTGCATTTGTGTAATAAATGTAAGTTGCCAATAAGACTCAGAAAAAATATCTCACCTACCACAAATGTTGAATCTTATAATGTAAGACTATACCCCATTCCCAAATAAGCATAAATTAAATTCCAGGTATCAAATGGGTGACTTTTAACAAGTTAAAATAGATATAGAAGTTATTTTTTTGTAGGGATTAAATTTATAACTGAAACTTTGTTGTCCATTTTTCGTTTGAAAGTAGTGGAACCTATGTAGTATATCACCTGTTAATTTAAGTATTATGCAGGACTTACCAAATTAGTTTATTTTCTGTTTACAATATTATGATATCAAAATTAGACTAAACTACATGAATCACAAAAGTTGGAATATTATTTTCAAGTAGAGAGCAGCTTCTCATGATCTACTTCCAGAACATAGAACAAGCATCCATCAGATCAGAACGTATACAAGATAAGAAGAAAACACTTTGGTATTGTTATCACAATCAGCATATGGATGCTCCTTCTATGTGTAACTATAAGCACATGATTCTACAGTTCCTAGAAGAATTAAACAAAAATTCTCTTGAAACAATTGGTAACAAGCTAGCATGTTACTGTATTACTGTACACCACATTACAAAAAGATATGCATATGTTTTAGGCCAAGACCTCCAATGGACCAATAGGTAAAGTAAAAACTGATGAATGATTTAGCAGAAGCAAGTTATTGTCAGAAAATGGATTCAGTTAACAACCTCAAAAAGAACTAGGCACTCCTCAAGTAGTTTGAAAAATAGCCTTGTTCGAGCAATATTCTGCTGCCACGCCTTCACAAGCGACGCATCATCCAAGTTGCGTAATATTTGCAGAACTACAATCAACACCTCACGCTTTTCAACAGTATTCAGGTTATAGAATACAGGCATTTCATCTAGTATCTGCAGAAGAGTTATTATAAAATTGTTAAAATAAGGGATCATAATAATAAAGGATTCACCACCAAATATAATTTTTCATACCACATATGTTTCAAGAAATAAAAAGTGGAAAAGAAAAAAGCCCACCAACAAGAGCTCGGAATAAAATCAAACAAACAATGAGAGGTGTCCTCAGTGAGGAATATTAACATCAAGGACAGATTGTGAGGATGATAATGACAAGGTTGGTTGCTTTTCTCATTGGGTGCCTCTCACTTTTTGTGATTCCTCTGTTCTTTTCTTTTCTTTTAATTTCAGATCTTCTTATAAGCATAAATCAAATAGCCAATGCTATACATGATATCCAAGCAACTCTGAAGGGAAGGCACAACTGATTCCAAATATACGTTACAAAAATATTGTAGCACTTGTGGGAGCAAAGATAGAGAAGGTTATATCAGCTCTCCACATCATTGTCAATCATACAAAAACACACGCATAAATGCTTATCATAAATGCATCAACGATATCAATACTATACTTTTAGGGGGTTGTCAAGATAACGAGGCATGTTTCACATGTACTTCCAGTACTAGTGAGAATCCATAATGATCAACGTAGTAGTATTTTATCTTTTTTACATGTCTTGGGCTGAGGGAATGCTTATCATAACAAGTAGTGCATCAAAGAGAACGAGCTTTTCTCCTTCAGATGCCAAGACATATTTTTCAGTCAGTGTTTAAGTTTACATCTGAGTCTTGTCAATTGGGTAAGCACACTCACATGTCAACCTAACTTAGGGTGTCAAATCATTTCTCACATGATTATTGTGTCTAGTTTGCCAAATATTTCTCACATGCCACTTATGTCGATCTAAAAAACCCAGAATTAGAGTTTTGTCTATCTTGCAACTTTTATGCGAATGAATTTCATACATCTTTTATAATCTCATTAGTGATCATTTTAGGATATATACCACACGGGATTTCTCACTTAGTTTTGATTAATGAAAAGCTACTACACACAAATGATGTTATGCACATATAATAGGGAAAAATCAGAGGTAATCACTTGAGCAACAATTTGCTCAATTAAATTCTTTCAGAAGGAAGAAGACCATTATTTCAAACAAAAATAATGGAAGTTTATTTTGCTCAATTAAATTATTGCAGAAGGAAGCATTGCAGAATTACAGTTCTATAAATTTGCAAAAGCAAGTTCCCATAAAAAAGGAACTAAAATATCTTAATCACCTGTCCCACAAGTGGAAAGTATAACTGCGCAATATACAATTTATCCTCAGGCTTCTGGTAGCGAGAATCAAAATCATGCTTGCATAAGAGGACTACCAAAATCCTTGCTGCCTAGAAACAGAAAATAATTAGCAATGAAAGACAGCATTAATGTCTTGGAAAGAAAATATCCATCCACAAAAAATAGAATATTGTTACACTCACTTTTGCCCGCTGAGATAAATCATCATGATCCCAAGTAAGGAAAAGTTCTTGAATTAAGACAGATGAAAGATAGTTCCTGTGATAAAAAGCATATTGCATTAAATACTCAAATGCAGCTTCATAAGTGATACACAGAGCCATATGTGAACTGGTAGCAAGACATATACTAAAGAAAAACCTAAAAGACAATTCCCAAGAAGGAACCATAAATAAGTGAACCGCAATTCATGCCATGTCAAACAGATAAAATGGCAAGGGATGAAGGGATAGCTCATAGTTCAAAACATCAAATGCATCAAACCTACCACAAAGTCAATACTAAGTCGTCGAATTTATTCAACTGTACAAATAATTAAACAAAATAATCAACAAAACAATATGACAGCCAACAGCCATCTCTCACAAATAAACAAATTGAAATTCTTTATGAATTCCGGTATTTAGCACTTCAAAAATCCAATCAAACTGATACGATCAAACCTTTTAGAAACTTATCTATTGGTTGCAAGATGAATTGGTTGTTCGTATTCACAAAAATATTAAACTAAGTTACACAGATGGTATAGATTTTTGAATGCGATGCAACAGATATAGCCACAAGTAAAGATACTTCCCAACATAACAGAAATATATCTCAAAAATATAACAGTCATAGTATTCTTAAGAAACAAATTGGTGCACATGCTGGTACATTCTGACCGAAGGACTAGAGACAGTTCAACAGTGCACAAGGGTAAACGCTTCTGTCACAGAGAACATAAGAGATATATAATCATGCCTGAACCTAAGTCCTTCCCTTTTAGGGGAAATAGAAGCATGAGTTGCGGAATTTTATATATTGCTATGAGGAATAATGACATCTGAACATAATATACCTATCAGAAGGATCCCGCCCAGGCATTTCAACAAATAGATCATGGTCACATATGATTTGTAGAAAGGTAAGCTTGCAATCATGCAACACCGATTGACACACCCCAGAGAACTTATCCAGGTACAAGGACACCTGCAATCAGAAGTATCAACATATCAATTAAAATGCTGATGGAATGGGACTAATGACACGTAAGCAAAATATACTAAGAGCAAGAGAGGCACGAGCAACTTTGGAGTAATTGGTTGGCAGCTGTTATAATATATGAACATATCCTTAAAGGCTTAAACTATGCCTCATTAAGATTACAAGTTAAATACACCGTGAAGCAACATAATACACATAAACCATTCCCAACTTCGTTTTGCTTCCCATGTGATCCAAAGTGTCCCGACAAGGTATAAACATGATGTCATGGACAAGTGTCTCATAGCATAATAAAGAAAGATGTACCAAGGTACAGTGTGATGAGTAGTTACCAATTCAAAAACTTGCCGAGGTTCAATGGTTGACAAAAGATCGTAACAAAAGAAAGCCAAACTGCTGTTTAAACGTTTTGCCAAACTTAAACCCCTCTTACAACGCTCATGCACCTCTGTCAGGAGGCAATCATATAATTGCATGATGCATCTAAATACACCTTCTTTCAATTGCATTGGTGGGATATCTTCACCTGTCGTGCAAAAGGAAACAATTTGCTTAATGCATGAGAAGGAAAGACATCAATGAGATTCTGCTTCAACTGATTATATGACCAATACTCGTAATCGTTTTAAATTACTTCAGTGTTACAGCCGAACTAAATATTCAAGAAAATTACTGTGATTAGGTCCATAACTTCTGAAACTCAAATGGAATTAAATACTTCATCATAGTGTTTGTCGCAGAAAAAACAGTCCATTTTTTAAATGAGAGGCAATACTGAATAGTTCAATGCCGGTAGCAGAAATCACCCAAAACAGCATTGAAACTTCTGATAATGGGGGTTATTAGAGTAAATGACCAATTAGATAATAGACTCCATCAGCCCATGTTATATACATATATAATCAACGTTTCCCTGCAGTATCAAGCTTTTCCCTCAACATTAGGAACCAGGGTTAAGGTCTTAATAGCCAAACCATAGCACCTACTAAAGCTAGTTGCGTCCACCATCTGTCATCTGGCTGCACAGTGGACATCAATCGAGTTTGCTGTATTTTCTGTTCAAGTGTTCCATCTGTACCACCACTAAGGAATTTGTCGGTGCTGGACCTTCACTGCCTGCACTACCATCTACTTCCACCACCAGTACCACCTGCGGCCTTACTGTTTTCTGAATCCACTTCAGAACCGATGTGTTCACCTGTCCACGTCTGCTCGTCATGCAAAGCAACTGCAAGTCCTGCTTGATGCAAATCCATCTGACCATCCTAGCTATCGACCCAACCAGATAGTCTATCATACCAACTTGCTGAATTCAAGTCTCATCACCCGAGATTGCCACATCTCAGCTTGATTCTTTGACCTTCTACTGAGCCATTGACTGCCATCGTGACGTCTATTACCGTGTCTATACTTGATCAGAAGATGTGACTCATGCGACAGTTATCGTATGTCCTAACCCATTACAGTTAGTCCAGGAGTTGATTTTCACTTCCAGAAAACTTTAGGGGTCCTATGTAAATTCTAAAAGTTCAAGTGTCTTGTTTGAAATTTCTGGAAAGTCAGATTTAAGTCTTCATATTCTAGTTCAGGTACTGTTTTCAGAATCCAGGTCTGTTTCTGTACCCTCGAATATTACCATCTAAATCTTTTTGAGTTTCCTCTCACCTCTTCCAGGTAATACAACCAGTAATGATTTCTTGTGTCATCATGCACAATGCAATTCTGCATCTGGCCGGACATCCATTTGTGTCATCTTTCTTCTGACCACATTACTCTTCCCCCTACTCCTGCTCTGTGCACTCAGTGTATATGAAAAAGGCAGAATTGTCATCCGCTGTAATATGTTACCTAAACCAACAGCTGTTGGGTGTCTTGTCTGCCACACGAGGTACCCAACTCCACCAAATTTATAGCAGCTCCAGATGAGCCTCCAGGCATCAAGAGAAGACAAAAACCATCCAGAAACAAAGCAGGAATGTCCATGCAGTCACAAGCAGGAAATGTAAGGATGAAGACCTGCTTGTTTCAGTAAACGTGTCGCTTCCATTTTTGTTTTACTGTTGGTTTCCCTTGGTGTGTATTTTAAGTTTTTCTGGGGACTGCTTTTCAGTTTGTCCGTCCATTTCTGGTACCTTTCCTGTTCCAGACTTCGTATCTGCCTTGCCTTTCAAGTTGGCAATGGGTGATAATCTACTCTCCTTGGATCATCCCATTCTCCAGACTTCTTTAAGATTTTTGTATAAAAGGTAATTTCAAATCAAGGACCCTTATTGAGTGCATATTGTAGGTTTTAAATGAATCAAAAAGGTGTACCATAAGTTGTTGACAGTGTGAACTAAAGCAAAGAACAGCTGCAATAACTATTCAAAGAAGATACCTAGAGGCAGATTATGATACAACAGTCGAGTCTGCTCAAGTGCCATCGACTTTACAATCAATTCAAGGAAAAACCAAGCCATTGAGAGGACATCATCATATACTGGTCCAACTCGGTAGCCTTTGGCCTACAATGTAAATTCAGTAACTTAAGTTAGTGGAGTAAGCATATCTTAGCAAGTCACAAGTAGATCCTTGGCTTAAGAAGCATGTGATAAGAAATCAATAAGAGCATAACATTCTCCATGGAATCCTATGATGAAGACTACATATTCCACGATTGCAGATAAAAGGTCGCCTAAACAAACTGGCACTCAACTACCACCCCAAAGGAGAATGGGAGAGAAATCAATGAACAATTAAATATAGAAAAAAGAATAAAGAAGAATCACATACTAATGATATACTCAATAGCTCGAGTCAATTATAATATTCAAAAAGGAATGTGATAGCGGCAAGAGATGATCTCACATGTAACAGTGATTAGATCACATACCCACTGTAAGTCGAGCTACCATTATTTACAAAAAAATTAAAATAAAGAGATTTAGATGTTAGCTTCTTTGTGCTGTTAAATAAAGTGATATGCAAGGGACATTTACCTTGCTACGAGCCAAACTTCCCCAAACTGTCGACAAACCAGGATATACCGGAGTTTGTCGACCACCAAAATCATCAAAAGCATAGTCCACATAGTTGACCAGAAATATATTTCTTTCAGCTTCATCGACCGACTCTTGCTGTACTCTACAGAAAACAACTACGTTACTGCAAAATGGTGGAAGCTGGATAACATGTCTTCATAGTATAGAATGTGGGCCTGGACTAATTACAATAGTGAAAATAATTCTTTCCTATACATCTATATGCAGGTTAGTTTGGATTAAAAAACCCATATTTGTTTCTCAACCCATTTTTTTCCACAAAAAAAAACAACATAGAAAGACAACACTTTCTAATATAACATCCTTGTAACCCAAGAGTATTTATAATTTTATTCGATGCTTTGCCACCAGAACTTAACAACCTTTTTGTTTATGTTCATCAATTCGAAATTAATATCCAAATATAGAAAAAAAATTAAGCACCAGTTGGCAGAAACACTGAAAAAAATTTGTCAGCACAAGGGTATGGAGTGAAGCACGAATAGCCAAATCAGAAACCAATTCATACTTCACATGAATAACTTGTAGGCAGCTTTTCTATGTTAAACAAAAAGTTATCCCAATCGTGCGAAAATCTTCAGAAGTACATACCGTGTCAAAATATTAACCATAGCTCTGAAAGCAGCAACCTATGAGAAGATCAAAAATCAATACTGAGGAACATGCTTTCAATTGGTTATCCTGATTATATGAGGGAAAGACGAAGCTACAGAAATTGGTGATAAACTAGCAGACAAGAGAGATAAATTCAAGTACAACTATTGGGAAAAATAAACTGCTTAACCTGGAGAGTTTCTCCACCGTTGCCAATAAGATGGAGAAGCATATTCAATATTGGGTGAAGAAACTGCAGCAAGGCAGTTGAATCAACATTTTTCAAACTGTTGATTGCCTGAAAAGAAGTTCAATGCACTTTAGATTGCTATTAATTCATTTGAGCACTACAACATAAAAATCTTATCCATATGTATGAATAAAAACTAATGCATCTTTAGAAGAATAAATAAGCTTAGACGAATCCACAAATTTTCATGATTTCCAGCTTCTCTTATCGTCTCACTCCAGAACCAAAAAACTGAAGTAAAGTTTGAGTAGATCCATAAGCTCTAGGACACACATTGCAGTATGTAAAGAGAAAGCTCGAATAGAGAGGTGCACAGTAAAAGCGTCAAAGAGCAAGGCCAAGAACATATCGCTTCAAGGAATATCTTATACATCCAAAAGTAATCAAGTTGGAACATAAATGTCAAAATGTCAAACTTATTGCCAATAGATCCAGTCTTAGGCCTATAGAAGGCTTTAGAGAAGAACTCAAGGTAAAACTCCTCAGGGGACCAGCTCAACAAGGGGAGGCTCATGGGAGGTACAAACCACCTGTCTCAGAGGAAAAGTGGAAATCTACCTTGATAGGCATGCTATACTCATGAGGCCTTTTATTTGGAAACACTCGTAACAGCCTCAATATCACAGTGCATCCCCAAAGAGTAGAAAGAATCTCCTTACTCTTTAACTAATCGTCAAACAAAGTAAAAATTATACAAGCCAGGGCACCATACTCGAACTCTACATAAGAGAGAAGTAGAGAGCAGCTTCTTACTCTTCAATTATATAAGGTTTCCCCTAAAAGACACTATTCACTGTTAGATGTCAAGCCATACGAAGACCCTAATGTTTGACAATAAAATTACCAGCAACTATCATGCAAAATCAGTGAGGAACCCCCTTGAAAAGTTTTATAACCCAACAAATATTGCCCACAAAAATACAACACCAGAATTAATAACATACGATAGAGGAGGAGCTCCGAAGGTTCCTCTCTTCTCTCTTCTTGGATGATAACAGTGGCATGTCTTGGCCTCCAACTAGCCTCGTATATCTTCAATGATCATCAAGAAGTGCGTGGCTGTTTGGTTGCTTTTCCATTAAGTCATGTAAGAATAAAATGGTCTGATTAATCTCTCTGTATAGTTGGGAAGGTTTTTGGTTGGGAAGTTTTTTCATAAATGGAAGGACTGTGTTCTCTAACCGGAAGGGGCAGGTTTAGGAAAACTTGGCTTTTTGCATAGAGCTCCCCCTATAAGCTTACTGAATAAGGCACTTTCTATATCATTAAGCCACTACCAAACAGTCATGTATAGCTAACCGAATAAGCTGAGTCCCATTAAGCTCATTAAGCTGTCATGTGCCAACAAACAGGCTCTTTATCGTCATCTGGATAGAAGTCTTAAGATGTAACAAACAGATCCTGACTAATATGGATGGGAAATATGACCTGATCTAGCACACGAGTAGAAAATAACTGAATATTCAATATTAGGTCTAACAACTGTGAGGTAGCTTAGATTCCACCTAGCCTCATGTATCTTCATGGATCATCAAGAAGACTACTATCGTCTAGATAGGGAACTCTTAAGATCAGACAAACAGAATCCCAACAACTACAAACGGAGGACATGAACCAAATGACCAACGAATAGGGGATAGCTTAGATTCCAATTGACCACCTATATCTTTGTAGATCATCACGATAATCACCATCGTCTAAATATGATAAGCTCAATTTCGTGAAATGCAACAGTATATGGAGGAAGTAGGTAACGTAAGATCGTCAGCAACAAGAGCACAAGGTACCTCATCAAGAATTACAAGGTAGAAGGCAAAAGAAATATAATGGAATTGTTCCTCACTTGACATGAAAAATAACATAACCGAACAAAATAACATCCAGAAAACAAGACACTGTTATAGGTGAGTACTATATCCCTGATACTCTCCTATGCCGTAAAACAACGAAAGAACACCCAACAGTTGTTTGATAAATTTGTAAGCAGACAGCATAAATCATGAACATATCAAATGCAACCAATAATCACAAGACTGACATATAAAAGTGGCATAGAACAATAATAGACCTAATAGAGAATTAAACTTTTTAAGGCAGTGAAAGGCAATGGGCATCCAATTAATCAAATGCTCGCTAACCATATAATCAACTTTGCCGAATAGTTGTATGACTTCTTGAATCGTACTTGCCACATTAGATATTATTATGTTGCATATTGATGATGTAGATACTTTTTAAGTATGGAAATATTGTTTTTTACTGTTGAATTTATGAAATGCCATCCAATCAAGAACAGCAGAAGAAGATGACAAGTTGTGTCAAGGATAAGCCCGTTTTATTGTACTTCAAAAACTGAATCTTCTATACAAGAACCACCAATATACATGCATAAGCTATGTTAAAGTAACAGCTGGTACAGGTAGTCATCTAACAACTTTTCTATATATAGCAAACAGATGAATTGGAAAAGAATGAAAAACAATAGAAGTGAAAAAATAATAATAGCCAACTCAATGTCCATTATTTCCAAATTTTACATGACAATAAATGTCAGAATTTCTGGTAAGTCAGACTCCATATTAAACATAAATTAATCGAGAGAAGCTCCAAGCTCAAGGGGGTACAAAATCTCTGGCCAGGTAACATAAAGCATGCCAAGGTTGCAGTCACAGATCACCATTCTGGAAGCATTTCATTAAATTCATTTTTTATATTTGAACACTATTTCATGTTTTATTCAGATTATCCTCATTGATGTCATTTCATAACATATGATTACGTATGTACAAGTTCACTGGATCATCAACTCATTTACAGCATGTTCAAAATAAGAGCATAATTAATCAGATAGCTTACATGCTTATAGGTATTATTCCCAGACTGTAAGAGCATAATTAATCAGATAGCTTACATGCTTATAGGTATTATTCCCAGACTGTTTTGATCATAAATCTAGATATTATAAAAAGAAGTATTTGTCTGTGGCCAAATTATGACGAGTATTTATACATATGTATCTGACTAATATGCCCCTTGTATACACAGAAGATTATATACTTGACCGTTCTATGAGCGGCGGCATTCCCTACCGAAGCAAAAAGAGATTGTTTACCATTCCATGATGTCATTTCACCCCATAGCAGTTGGTAGCAAATAGCAATAGCATAGTTGAGTTAAATCTAAATATTAGAGAAAATGAGACAAGTACATGCTGAATGAAACATGCAATAATTCCAAAAGAAAAAATATATAGTACCTCAAGAAGTTCAGAACCCCAAGGTGGGCTTGTACGAAGAGTGTGTCTGTCATATTCAAGAAAAAAATCCCTGATACGCTCACTAACAGGGTACAAGGACGAACAAAGTCGTAACCGTAAGCGAAAGACACTTTTCCCGTCTTCCAGGTAATCCAGCCTCTCCTATACAATAAAGAGAATGATGATATAAAAATGGAAGAGTTCAATACAACACTGTTATAATCAAACATGCAGCATTTCCTGTTCAAAAGAGCATTGGTAATAGATTTTAAAAAGTAAATAGAAAAAGGATGAACAAATAATAGGAAGAGCAGAAATGCAGCAAGCCGTTTCCTCTATAAAAGATGGCAACTACCATATGGAAGTAGAACATTTATGAGACACATTGCCAGTTGATAAAGCAGAAACCAGGCACGTTTATAGAGGGAAATATTGGAAGTTTATGGATGGTTCAATAGAATAAGTCTGTGAGATATATGAGAGGGTTAAACAGTTACAGAAGATGGATTTATATTAGATTTGAATTGCTAGTAAATGCTTGTGTTAGTTTACTTCAATTTTTAGTGCTTGCTTAAAAAAGAGAAAAGTATATGAGATATATCAGAGGGTTAAACAAAGACAGAAGATGGAAATATTAGATGAGGCTTTATCCATATATATTTATGTGTGTATGTATTAGATGAGTATTGTTAGTAATAGGCTTACTGTTGACTAATCAATGTCTCAGTCTTGGCCCCTACATTCATACCATTTATCAATGATGCATTTTGGAAACCTAACAGAGTGTTAGGTTAGAACTTAGGAGAGAGCTTCTTCCACCTCCACCTACATTTTGTCATCAGCAAACATAATGAAGTTTGTCTTCACGGAAAGTAACCCTACTCTTTTGGGTAGAGGACAGAGTTGCACACATCTTACTACTCCCGGAATCACACTTTGGACACATTGTTATCATGTCAATCTGATTTTTATCCAAATTCCTGCTGCGCTTGTATGATCTTGGTCTATTGGTTTTGATTCCGGCTGGTTTGATTGAATCCCATTTCTTTGATAGGCTGGTTAAGCAGGAGCCAAAATTAGTCCTGTCCTATCAGTGAAAAGGATACAGCTTCTTACCAAGTGGATTAGTCAATCCACCTGCTAACTTTTTATAGCTAAAGCAACTGCATAGTTTAACACTTCGGACTAAGCACTGATTTAACATAAGGACAACCGAATAGGTGATTTCCTAATCATCTGATTGCTGGTGCAATTTCAGGCAGTCAAGGAAACTTATGGACTGTTTTGCAATTTCAGGAAGGTTCAAGGATGTGGTAGTTGTTCAATTTCAGGAAGTTGTAATGACAGTTCCTCGAAGCCAAGGAGCCAGCTGTCATGCATACGGTTCAGGATTTATGGCCATAATGCAAACGTCCAGGATTTTTGGTTGTTTAGTTAATCTTCAGAAGGGATTTATAACAAAATGATATTTGTTGTCTTTGGCTTTGGTTTGTTTCAGCTTCCCCTTGTTCCTATTAATCATGTCCTTATTTGTTTACATTTGCTGCTAATGCAGACAGTCACTACCTGATCGCCACCCTGGTGTTCTTCATCGTCTGAATATGAGAAGAGAATAAGCTTATTCAAGTATGGAAGATTGGGTTAATTTTGAGCGGGTTCAAGAATACCTGATTGATATCTATGCTCCAACTCAAGGATTGTTAGAAGATGGAAACATATAAGGTTGGGCTTGTTATTATCAGCTTAGTGTTAGTTTATATCATTATTTCAGTAGCATATATCACCCCACCATTGTACAAAATAGTACATACAAATGTAGCCTACCTTGCCACTATCTTGAAGATAGTGTGGAACCAGCTCTTTCATGATTGGTATAGAGATGTCCGATCTTAACCTACATACAAAGGTAAAAAGAGCAAGTTGGCTCAAATTATCAAAAATAATAAGCTTAGAAAATAATTTGAGAACCATTACATAATAAGAACAAACAGCTGTAGACACATAAAACACCGTTTTCCAGATAGTGAGGCCAAGACTTAAAACCCTATGTTAGCAATAGGAAGTCACGTATATGATGTCTGAAACAAACAGTTTCCAAACAAAAAACTTGATTAAATTGTGATTGTTTTTCCTAGGTAACATCAATCAACACCTTCGTTGGTAGAAGCAATAGAACACAGAGAAATCCACATGCCTGTCACCTATTTTTGAATGATTTGGAAAAAGTACCATCTTAAAGAACTGTTGGTAATACTGATACTTTCCTGTAACATTGAAGCAATATCAAGGTGGAGGAAGATACAAGTTTCCAACCGTAGCAAAGTTGTTTATTGTTACTTGTTCTTCGTAAATTGTTAGGTTACTTATGCTGCTCAATTCAATGGACATAGCACTCTTTATACACAGCAATCACACACTAAAAACAGTGCAAAGCATGAGATGAATATGGTAACTTTTTGTAAGAATTACATCCCCAAAACAAAGAAGGTGTAACGTAGGAGTTGCTTCTCACAGTGTAGATTTTTGCTTTCAACAATACCACAATTATATGCACAAGATGATTTATGTAATGTACAAGCCAAGTTTACAGAAATTGTAGGCTTATTTTGTTAGGGAAAGGCGTATAGATTTGATCACTTCTTGTAAAGACTTGCCAGTAGAAAAGCAGTTCTTTTGAAAGACAGAAAAATAACCTCTGCATTATCACTAGACAGAGTTTTAACTAAATGACCAAATTTTTTAACATAAAATCAAATAAAAGTTCATCAGATCACTTTACAAGTAAATCAATAAAATTCACGAGTCACTAATGTTAAAAAAGAAATATTTGAAATCCTAAACAGACCCTATCTCAGTGAGGCCTCCAAAGATTCCAATCATTCAGTCACTTGTGATCCCACTTATTATATCTTTCAAGAACATGGGACCTTCCCGACAATCAAAACAAGTCATTGGTTGGGAATTCTTTGTATCAACTATCAAGTATTTCCTAGCATATGCAAAGGGACTTTCTCACCTATGACCTTCATTTACGAAGAAGTAAGAACAAGTGAAGATAGAAAAGAAAAGCTACTAAATGCATTAGATACCTAACAAGCTTTTATTACGTGAAAATCCCAAAAGCAATGGATTACGTCAAGACTTACTGAGCGTGTGTTGATAATGGAAGAGCAGCATATCCAATAATTACCTGCCAAGATCAATAGACAGGGTAGCAAGTCAAAATAGCTGATGATCGAATCACGTGAAAAAAAGGAAGAACAAAGCCAACTTACATGTCACACCATTAGCCGCAATGAATGTCTAAAATTAGCCTTTTAACATTGAAATTCCAGAAAAAATTCCCACCTCATCATAAATACTAAGATAATAGAACTTACTGGCTTTGGAGCCTCCAACTTTGTCTGAAGGTCAATATGGAAGAAAGTGAACAAAAGGTGATGTTGGGGGGTCCACATAGAAGGAAGTGAAACTTTAATTTCATCATGGTAGCAAGCCACCCTATTTCCAGGAGAAACTTGTGTGTGAGCCCATTTTTGTAGAGATGTACCCGGCTCCCTTGAATACATTGCCTGTTCAATTTAAACGTTATTTCAACTTTGTACAGACAGGATTTAAATGAAGAGTATTTTTCAGTATCCTACAAATTTCACCAACCTCTAGTGGCTGTTTTCGAGTATCAGCATCGTCCTTTCTGAGTTCAATTCGTATAAACAAATTCCGTTTCCGACTTAAACTAACAGTCAATGGGTATACATAAAGACAATGAAAAAGCTGCAAGAAAGGCTCGTTTCTAATTGTTGTGCGGAAGTCAAAAGCTTGAACCTGTAAACCCAATACAAATCAATTATGAACTTTACAGAAATAAAAAGTTCGTAGCACAAGACAAATTGCATTTTGAATTAAAAAGCAGAAAACTGATCAGATAGAAATTCCTCCTGAAGAAAATTTTCATACCCAAAATAATTTGTGACTATGTCACTGCAATACTGCATGCCTTTGTTTCCTTACATGCATTATGTTGTACAGAATTTCATAAACACTTTGAGGTATATAATCAGTAGATAGAGGTGAACATACCATGCAACTGCAAGACGATAGATCATACTCATTTTTCTCACAGAATATATCACTACCTAGCATACAAGCTTTTATAGAGTACTGAAAACTCTATGCATTACTGGCATTATATTTTCTAATAGCAAGGTTAATTCATAGAAAAGGTAAGCATTGATAGAAAGGAGGAGACCAAGACAAGTTATTGTCTGCATGTTTCATCGCGTGGTGCATTGAATGATGAACCTCATGTAGAATAAGTCCTAAAGTTCAAATATATATTTGTTCATCTTACAATAACCAATAGACTCATTGAACCGTTCAGGAAATAGAAATTTTCTTGTTTGTATAAAATAGTAAGGGATCACTACAGACCACACATTGCACTATCAGTGACCAAGATTTATTTCAAGAAAATAACAATTTAGCACATCAAATTGGGATTTTTATGTTCCCATTTCCCTTTTCCTTTCCAACAAAACAATGGAATAAACTAAAATTGCAGCTGATAATAAATATCCGCGTGTTATGAGCTGCTAGTTACTCCTGTAAAGTGAAAGGTGAAAAACAAACATAGAAAAGAAAAGAGTAAACTGCATCCTGTTCACATACAAAAAATGCCAAACTTACATCATTAGTAGTCACATCTGCATGCCCTGTTGCAACTGATCCATTTGAGGGTTGTTCTTTACCGTCACTGAACTTTGAATAACCACTATGATGTCTATTTGAATGAATGCTGCGCCACTCATTGACCATGGAATCAGCTACTCGATCCCCATGGTCCATATCATTGGTAATACTGCCACTATCTGAAGCATTGTCATATTCGGTATTAGCAGCTTGAATTTTTTCTATTTCCAACCGTAAGACACCTTTCACGGGCTTATGAACCTTCCGTTTGGGATCCTGAAAATAATCAGTTGGGAAGCTGTAATTTTATAAACCAACATTTTACATATCCCAATTGCCAAACCATCCAGACATATAGAAAACATCAATCAAAATGATAGGTTTACAAGCGAAAACATTTTCAAGCATTTGCAGACACCTTTAAATCAGCACTTCTCAATCACTAGCCAAAAGAAGGCGAAACTAGATAAAGGATATGATTAGTTTCCTCTTTTGGTTCTTTACAATCACACACTGTCTTTTGTTATTTTGTAAGCATTCTCTTCCTTGTGCAACAAAAAGAACACAACCCATAGTCCTTGTAAAACATTTATCCACTGTTTTGTTGATGAAAACCAAGTTCATGCAGCACCACAAACCTTTACTACTTCATTACCTAGTCATCTGCATCCAACAAACCATCCATATGCCGGTGTAAGATTATGTTGCCAGTCAGACAGCGGCACTCGTACTCCAGGTTTTACATTCAAACCAATACATGCACTGTAGTACTTGAACCTCTAGGTTTCACTTCGTTACTTACAAGTCACTGTTCAAGTGGTTATTCAATACCTAATGTAAAATGATGCATACACACTAATGGAAGGGGATTCACATTTTATTACCAAAACAGAGAAAGATATGCTGATAAACACAAAATACAAAAAAATTGGACTAAAAGATGTTTGTTTACCTGGAGAGAATCCTCGGTATAGCTCTCCTTAACTTTATTCAGGTTTGACACTTCCACAACAACAGAATTTCCACTCGAGTAACCCAGTTGTCCGTCTAATGTGACCTTTGTGATAGGCTCAGAGACACCCTCCTGCAAATTTACTCCTGATAGACTATGTGCAAGTGGACTGCTGGGGGAAGCAGATCCACCAGAAGCTGAACCAATGTTGCTATCGAACAGCGGAATAATTGCCCAAGAAAAGGACTCTCTATAAGGCATCATCCGAGACCAAACTTGTAGTTTCTGCTTTTCTCTCTCAGTAAGATGGACCTATTTCATATCACAAGCAGAAAATGACAATGTAACTTATAGTTGGAACTTGGAAGATAAATAGAATGATACAAAAAGCAGTAACACATACAAAATTTAGTTCTAACTGGACTAATGAAAGGGAGCATAAGTTGAATATTTATGGTATTCCATGATGGTGTAAGAAGACCGCTTTTATGTTATTCTCATCTGTATTGTAATGTTTTTCAGGAAACCAAGACCTGTTGGCGAGGAATGTTGTCATTCTGTCGATGGTTACCCAAAGGAAGAAGTCTGACTCACAATGCCCTTCCTTCCTAAGCATTGTGTTTGGAAGGAAGTGGGTCCTTTTAATCCATCAATGCTGGTTTATGTTATAATTCCGGGCTCCAGATCCAAGTAGAGACAGGACTCCCTAACCAACTGAAAGAATATTAACTCTTAACAGAAGGAGAAGGATAAATAACGATGTGAAGTTTCCAACATTGCGAACCTCATAAAGGATAATATCAATAACCATTTAAATACATCAATGTAATGACAAGACCTAAAAATGATCTAGAAAAAGAAAATAATCTTCGAGAAGTAAACAAATCAGGTAGTAAGTGACATGCAATTATATTCAGATGTTTGTAAATCATGTATCATGGCTATCAATGTTCTTAATACATACTGGTTCTTTGCGCGAATAAACAGATGGGGTCACTCCGCCTTCTTCAGTAGCACACTTCTCTAACTGTATAAGCAGGCAAACTGATGATGATGGAGTGTCTAAATAAAAAAGTCCACGGGGTTCAGAAGAACTGCTGGCCTGCTAAGGTAGAAAAGAGAGATGCAAATTTTTCAGTTCTTCATATGATTGTCATCATACGAATAATTGAACTTAAATTTGAATGAGAGAAACAATGAATACAATCAACATAACAAAACAGACTCAAACAAAGTGGAAATCTTATTGGTGCTTACGTCCTGCATTTCAGATGGCACAACACGAAAAATGAAGTCCTCTGACAGCTTTTCTCTTCTCTCTTTATTGTACAACGATATAGTGCCATAAAACGGCTCTAATAAGAGAAATTTGCTGATATTAGATTTAAACTCACACAAAGAATAATGTCATAAACATAGAAGGTAGGTATCAAAAAGAATTGCTCATGAATTTGATGGTCTTGATCTCACCAACTAATCCTGCTTGAAATGACAGGGAAAGAACTTTTACAGAAATCTTCAACCCACTACAGACAAAAATGAAACATATTAGAAAATTACAAGTGTTTAGGGGAATAGATAAAAACACAAATCGGATGCATGTTTCTAAAGTTTCAAAATTACTAAACCTCGAAGACTGTGGCATATTAGATTCTGGAATTCTTTGTCCAAATATCATTGACCTCTCATTTTCCCAGTCAAATACAGGTTCATACGCAGGTAGTGGGGATTCACCATAGTGCTGCATAAGATTTAAAATTACCACAAAGTGTCATTTCAAATCCAGATGAGAGTGAAATACTAGAGGCATGATAAGTTCATATAGAATAAAACATTGCATTTGAACAGAAAAATATGCAAGCAAAGGCATTCTACATATGCATCAGTTGCAAAGTTATCCAGCATATACATATGAATGAAGATTCGGAGAAAATAACCTCTGTAAGCTGTCTACCGGAGGTACTGGGTACATCATCATCAGTATTGTCTTCAATCTTATCTTGCCTAGCATTGGCAAGATGTATTTCTGCAGAGCTCAAAAGGAAGCATCACATACAAAAGGTTGTTAGCAAATATCCGTCTTAGCAAGAAAGAACATATGCCGAGAATAAAAAAGATTGTTGTTTGCGTTACATAAATGCTACTTTGTCCCCCCCCCCCCATATCAAGTGCCTCGACACTATTTGCCACACATCTTTGGGAGTTCCTCAATACATTCGTCAAAGCTTTTTGTTGCTTTAATACAAACATAATTTCAAACTTTAAAAGTATATTTTTGTATAAACAATATATTCAAAAAAAAGATTTTCATGATTGGACAGAGAAGCTGACTAACTTGAGCACAAAAAGTTCTGTTAGTATTAGATGAACATGGTAAAACTTATATCCTTCACTCCCATAGATTTTTGCATATGTTACTGTGTACCTGTTTCAATATCAGTATCAGGTCCTTCAAATATCTGATTCTGAAAGGATACATTGCCGACACTTTCGTAGTGCCCATACTTGTTTTCATCCTTTATCCAGTCAGTTTTGTAGCACTGAACAAGTTCATTTAAATGTGGCCACTGCTCCAAATTTTCATCAAGCTGTCAATAAGCAGATGTTCTGTGAGCAATATAGTTTGTGAATGTCCATAAATAACCAGTCCATGCCACAGATTCTAGCAGTAACGATCATACAATTTCCTCTTCTGAGGAACAGGGCTATGAATGGCTTAGTAACAAATGCTGATTCACGAATCTCAATCTAGACACACAAGCCATTGTAACATCCTTTAGTGTTAATGAATAATATAACATTGATGGCCGCAACATACCAGTGAGTCGACATTCAGATTTGCAGCAACTGGCAGGCGAGGCTTTCTTCTAAAACAATGCCCATTAGATGACATGTTCTCTTAGCCTGAAATCAAGGTCCATGCACCAGATTGTAAACTTCAACCATAATAGCATACACCCAAAAACATTGACAAGCTTATTCTTCTATGATGTTTTTTCACTCAAAAAAGACCAAAATGTTTGTGAGCCTTAGGAGGGAACAAAGCTGTTGTTACAAACTCTACGGGGTTGATGTATAACATGATAGAAAAGGGTAACAGTGTTGGTGAGAAAAACAAAGAATGGTGAAAGGAAAGATAAAGAGACAACACTAACCCCTGTAAAGGGCCAGATATGAGAATAAAGCTTACAGATATAATCAAACCATAAATTACTCTATATAGCATTATAATGAGGGATTACATAGATATATAATGTCGTAGAATATTCTCGAAGCCATAACTACCAAACCAAGAACCGCAGCCTCACTTAAATTCTACTAATGAACCAACATTAAATAAAAGAAACTATATATTTTCCTATAATACATAGTTTCTGAAGAAAAAAAGTACTTAGAAGTCTTTCATATCAGTATAATGAAGGATTACGTAAACATATAATGTCGTATAATACTCTCGAAGCCATAACCTACCAAACCAAGAACCGCAGCCTCACTTAAATTCTACCAATTAATCAATAATAAACAAATTAAAGGATATATTTTCCTATAATACATAGTTTCCAGGAAAAAAAAGTCTTAGAAGCATTCCATTAATGCAGTTGTCTTCACCGTCATGGGTAAGCAGTTTCGGGACAACATGATAGTTGTAATCTTATTTACTGCATTCCACCTTCAACATTCATATTTAGGGTAATTAGTATAGAAACAATGTCATGTCAAATTAGGTGCATTAATAGACCCATTAGGCTTCCAAACCCTCGTTGATACCATGATGTTCATCATATCATGCACACCATTTGAAACAAGTTCCAAACACGGAGCAACTATGCTGCAACGAGTTGCACCTCGTGCAGTTACAGTAATACCAACAAAGGTAACAACTCACTGCAATACACAAGTCCCTGTGATTAAACACTTATGGAAAAACCACACTCTTCCATATCATAAACCTTCATTCCTTCAAAACCCTAAGTCGCATAAAACATAATCGCAACTCAATGCAACTACCTAATCATATACATAAATGAAAAAGATGGTTCAAGAACAAAATGAAAAAGACCAACAAATCATCACATAACTCTAGTCACGTGCATTCATATGGCAGATTCACAGTAAGTCAAAATAAATTCATTCAAATTTACAAGACTTCGTTTGACTACAATAAGCAGCAAAAACGAATGCAAACATCGGTCTAATGGGGTCAATCACGATGGAGGACTGAACGGGTCAAAACCCATTTCACACACCCTACATTCAAAACCTTGTGAAACTGGGGTTTGAATGTGGGGGTGGATCTGAATGGCATTAGTAAAATGCAGCTTTATGTGCAGTGTGTCACCACAGAAAGAGAAAGAAAGATGGGATTACTGACCTCCGAAAAGGCAAAACGAGTACAAATTGAAGTGGGGTTTGAAGTTCAGATCTATGGAAGAAAACCCTGGAAGCAGAAACCAGTTAAAAGCCCAAAACCCATAAAAGTAGTAGGAGTATGAGTAGGAGTAGGAAGTAGATTAATGAAAGTAGCTGGAAAGTTGGGTGCAGAGGGAGGATGCTTAAAGCTTCGTCATGCCATAGTTGTCAAAGGTGCTTCCTGGTGGCCAGTGGAGTTAGGTAATTTATGCATCTATCGATCTCTCAATTTGTAGATTTGACAGCCTAATATGAGTTCTTACCCCATTCAATGTCATCAAAACGACGACGTCCCACACACATAATTTCTTTGCAATTTCTTTGCAAAATAAACAAAGAATATGTTAAAGAAATTGAAATACGTGACACGTTGAAATGAAATGTTATCAGGTGTCATCAAGTGATAGGTGTCATCAAGTGATTGGTTAGTAGGAAAATGAAATATAATCTGTCAGGTAAATTGAAATTTGTTTGTTTGGTTTACTGGTGAAGTGAAATAAAATGGTGAAAATACCAAAATACTCTTCTTCGAATTTGTTTTTTAAATTACAAATGATATTAATTTAAGAAAATTGGTTCAATGGGGTAGTTTTGTCATTTTAAGAAAATCGGTTAGAACGGAATTCAGTTCATTTCCCACTATGATGGAATAATGAAATCTATGGTTGGTGGAGTGTATGAAATACTGAAATTCATGAAATAGAATTTGGTCATCAAAATTAATCATTCCAATTCTATCATATTCCATTAAAAAGTAAAAGTCGTAATTTACATATTATTTTACGTTATAATTTCATTACGTTGTTAAGTTGTTTTGTATTTTCACAATATATTTTCACAAGTGTTTTAAAAATCTGAGTCTTTTCAAAAACAATCGTTTTGCCCCTCAATATCAGTAGAAGAAAATGTCTGTATGTGTTACCTTCCACAACCCTCTGAGATTTAATGGGATGATTTGGTTTAGTTTGATTGGATTAATCGTGCTTTTAATCCCATAATTTATTGATGACATAGTCATGTTATCATAGGCATGTCAGTTGTTTTTATTTGTACATCAGCTTTATTAAAAATACTGTTTTTTGATAATTCAACATATATGCATGTATATACACATACAGACAAGGTTTTCGCACAAATTCAAATACATAATTGATAATGTTTACAGTGTTCCAAAGGTAATGTTTTTTACACAAATTAAAATACATAATTGGATTAGTTAAGTATTGATTTTAACAGATCGGTCCTTTATAAAATACCATTTTTGAAGATCAGTTATAATATTGACTGATTAAGAGTTAACCAATTGGAAACGATTTTTCCAATACACTGTATGTTGCTTACTCGTTGGTCAAAATCTTTACTCATTTTTACCATTTTGCCCTCCAAACAGATGTATGAATAGGTTGTATGCGTTTGATTTTTTTAAGAACTTCTACAAGGGCTCTCAAAATGCTACAATTCAAGATTTTCGAAATTATTTGGTACCTCAATTTTCTATGTGTTTCATATTCTTCATAATAATCCAACTCGTAAGAGATGACATCGTATCATTCATAAAAAAACGTTGGTTCTAAAGCAGGATCATCGCCTTCGGATCATGATGTCGAAGATCATCCTCCATGTCCAAAAAAACATTTGCTTGAAAACAGTTAACGAGCGGACAAAGAAAAACACAATGCAAAAACCACTGTACACTTCTCACGATGCATAGTAATCGCATGCTGAAACGACACGTGAAAAAAGTGTTGTGTTGCAACGAAGACCGCTAGGGGTTGGTCTCATATGCAAATTGATCGATGCTGAAATCAAAATGAATTAGAGTTATAATTCCAAGTTCAAATCGGAGCATCAAGTATATCAATAGAGTTCGCGATCCCCAAGAAGGTTAGCAGTCGACCACTTTGATATTACACATTTTATGAGGTTAATCTAAACACTGCTTCAATCAAAATATAACAGGTAAGATGTCATGTCCTGAAAAGAAACACAGTTAAATTATGAAAATAACAGATAATGAAACACAACTGCTATTTTCGAAACTCGTGACATCTGGACGTTTCACACAATTATATAGTTATGTAACACGTATCAACCAGCCTGTACCATGATATAAAAAAGTACAAATATGCTTAAAGTGTTTGGTGGGATATTATCGAATTTTTTGATTTATTAAATAAGGTATGTAATATTTTATTCAATAATGGTCCTAACAATACAACATGTATTAAGGCTACATTTGACAAACCACTTGATAAACTAGTTGGTGGCTGATAAACAAGTTATATTTGGCAAAACTAACTGATAAAAATATAAAATGACCAAAAATGATATCTTGAAAAATTAATCAATTATATATTTTTTTAAAATACAATTGAAACAATCTCTAATAATATAATATATTATATAATACAAACAAGATGATAAAAAAAATTAAAAAAAATATAATATATTGATTAAAAATTTTGGATTTGTTAAAACAAATTTTAGAAACATCAAATTAAATATTTTATTCAAATTATTTAATACATTTTTATTATTTATAAAAGAAAATACGTATAAGTTACATAAACATTGTTAAGATTGTTATATTTACGTTTTAATAACAAAATATACTAAATAATAATTAAAACAGTGATAGTATGAAAATAATTAATATGATTAATTATTATCGTAAATAATATTAACGTATAATATATGATTAAAATAAATTAATAATTAATATTTATTTAAAATTAATACTAATAAATAATAATTAATGTTAGTGAAGATTATAATTGAAAAAAATAACAATAAGCTATCAAAACGCTACTTCAAACAACGTTTCAATAAGCTAACTTATATTATGTGCATCCAAACATGTTAAGAAAAACCTAACTATAAACCCTATTTATAATTGTGTTATTTTTCGTATCGTATTGCGCATGTTATAAACTTAATGGTCGTAAATATTACTTCAATAACATCAATGAAATACAAGATAATCCTTCACTCAACATAATGTTACAATTTTCGTCCTTATGGTTTACAATTTATCACTGTTTTCGTCCTTTGGCCTAACGATATGTGAGTCATTGACCTCCTAGCAAGTCAAGAGTTCAAACCTTACCAAATATGAGAAGAGTATGCGAGTAGAGTATGCGAGTTTATTTGTTCTATTCGTCGTATGTATGTGTGTGTGCATATATATATATCATGCTTCAAAAAAACACGGTAAATCTTAGAAAGGAAAACAACAAAAAATTGTAAACAAGAAAGATGAAAACCATAATTTTAAAAGCAAAGAAACAAAAGCCACATTAAAAAAAAAAGGTTTAATGGCAGGGACCTCATGGCCCCGTGGTCCACATTTTGTGAACCCTACTTGCCATACCTCATAAGCAAGCACCGAAAAAGACAACTTGTCCTCTCCTGGAATCGAACCCGGGTGGGCACGCCCAAGGCAAGACATTTACAGAAGGAGGTGGCCACTAGGCCAAGGCCTAATGGTTAAAGTCACATTTTTAACAAACTACATAGTCGAAACTCAAACTTAACAAACGACTTGAAATACTCGATCTATATCAACTACATATTATGGGCTAGGGATCGAACAAGAGACTCGAATCCGTTATAATCGCGGTTTTCCCATCTCTAATCGAAACAATGGTGTGAAATGTGAATCCAACTTCAAAAAATTGTTGATTTGGTTAAGCAACTGACTTGTAGTTGAATAATACATTTTTACCAACAAAAATATGGCTTAACAAAAAGATAAACATGTACTAAATATGGCAAAATGACAACCATATATTTTGTGATATGAAGCTTGCTTCAGATTTGTGCCAAATTTTACCGCATCGAACGCCTGGGGTTGGATTTCATCACTGACTCCAGGAATCTATACATCCATCGATCAAGCATTCCTGCCAAAAAGGGTACCGGATTAATAGATGGTTTTTATCGACCGTTAGTAATTTGTTTTAAATCAGCAAAGATTCTACTCGACAAGTTCTCTTTCGTAAAAGGGTATTCTAGATATTTGAAAAGTAATCAAACATTTTTTAATTAGATTATATGTCAAATAAGATGTTACAGTAATCTTTATAAGTAAATTTGACCTTCCTAAGAGCATCTCCAACAACTATGCAATAATGTTTCTAAAAGAGAGTATTTAAAATCAAAATCTCTAAAAGAATTGCATCCAACTCCAACAACTACTCTGTTTTAACAAATCCAATATTAATTATGTTATTAAAATATTTTATAAATTCATAATCCCAATACACTTTTAGAAAAACTTTTTGAAAATTATCACATATTCAATCTCATAGGCGGAAACAATTAAAATAATATATGTCTGCATGCATCCCATCCCCAGACCCTACTTCCGGGTGGGATATACCAAGTTCATTTAGTTTGGTTTAAGGGGGGGGGGGGGTCTAAAGGGTATTACGAGACGGGGAAAAAGAAACAAGAATGATCTATATGAATCTAGATTTCTAAGTCCTAATCTTAAGATTCGGTGTTAATTAAAGGTTCTAAACCTCTAGCAGAAGAGTTAAGACAAACCTGTTAAAGCAAATGTACCACCAAGCACTGCGCATAACCGAGTTATGAAGTGGAGAAAACTGCGTCGTTCTTCTTTGATGGCAACAGTAATTGGTGAAAGATCATATAAAAAGTAAACAGCTGAATCACATCAAAGAAAAAGTTATTTAAGACGATATAGCCATCCACACAGGACTGTTATCATGGTACAACGATAAGCAAGAATAACTTATTTCAGAAACAAACCTGGCCATGTCCTGTCAAATTCATTCATAGGGGAGAAGTACTCGGTAACGGAGAACTGATTGGTCGGTAAAACTTCTTTTGATATATATTTATATTCAGTTGGAACAATCTACATCATCAAAAAAGAAATACCATATGATGATACCAAAAAATAATGATGACACCCGACAATGCCATTTAAACTAATCTCTTGTTAGATATGAATATCGTGAAACGATAAAAAGGTCAAATACAAAGACAAGCACATTATCACCATGAAAATAACTTTACACAAAATAAAATTAGAACACACATAACAATCTTTCCATGTTAAAATCAAACCAAACCAACCAAACCCTATATGTCCCACCCAGAGGTGGAGCTTGAGAGAGGTAACATGTACGCAGACCCGACCTCTGCTCAATTCCTTCCTTCCCAACTTATGGTTTTTCTAATTTTGTTTTGGTGATTTCACTTTTGCAAGTTTAGCATTTACAAATTAAAATATCATCCATTAGAAATAAATTAGAGATCATCACAAAATGATGGATAAAATGATGCTTGGTAGTATTATCTTAGGTTTGGTGATTCAGATACAGCTGACTCAAAATACCAATTCTACCAGTTGAAGTAGATGTTATTGAAGAACAAGTATAAATTATATAAATATTCAACACAATATCTATAGCATGCATATGGTCACTTGGCTCGAAAGTAGCTAAAGGCTTGGGTGATCATGAGTGCAACCAGACTCTTTAGGATATCGACTATCAGAGTATTATGAACAAGGAGTCGCAAAGACTTGGACCATCTGCATGATCGGTTAAAGAGGATGGGTTCTTATCATCTTATGCATGTCCCTATAATTATTTCTTCATTTTTGAGCATATCATCAAGGAGTCTGAGGAAGTGACATATAGACGATATGCAAGGACAGGCAACTTATTGGTTCAGGCAGCCAGCAGGCCATGACCACCAGTCAGTTTCATCCTCGCATTTTTGCATTTTTATGATTGCTCATGAAATCACATAAAAAGTCAGGAATTAACGTTACTTCCTCCATCTATAAACCAATAGTAGATTTCACTTTGACTTTTGACCATTAAATGATTTCATGTTACTTCACAATCTATATGGAGCCTTTGTTGTAGAGAAAAAGTTGATGGTCAATACACTATAAAAGAATACAAATATATGAAAAGAATTATGGTTATAGAATGGAAGTAATATTTTTCTGGAGAAGGAGATGTACAAGTAAACTAACCTTTATGTAGTATTTAAATGTTCCGCTGGCAGCGTGGAGAATTCTTTCAGTGTCATCAAGGGGATTATGGAGTCCTGGATACTTTGGCCCAAAAGACAAATCATGAATCACATGGCTGACATTGACACGACTAGCCCCTTCAAAAATCTGCAGAACCAAGCACAAGTTGAATTAAATCTAATATTTAATTCATAGGCAAGTCCAGATCTGGTGGGTAAGAAAGATAATGCCCATCAACAAAATTAGGACTTCAAAAAAGGTGTAATAGGTTCATTTTGTCAAACAAAAAATAAGGTGTTGAAATATTTGATGCTGCAGAATCCAGTGATCAGCAACCTAGCCCGCGACCTGTGCTCACAAAGCTAAGGGGCTGTTTGTTAACAAATTTAATGAGCTTAATGGGACTCACAGCTTATTTGGTTACTATACTATACATGATTGTCTGGTAGTGACTTCATGATAAAGAAAGTGGCTAATTCAGTAAGCTTCTAGGGAGAAGCTTTATGCAGAAAGCCAAGTTTTTCCTAAACCTGCCCATCCCAATTAAAAAACACGCTCATTCTATCTATATGAAAAATCCCTTCCAAACAAAAACCTTCCCAATCTATACAGACAGATTAATATAAACAGACAACTTTATTGATACAAGACTTAATGAAAAACCAACCGAACAACCCCTAAGCCGCAAAGTGTTAGACTAAGTCAACTAGTCTAGTTTATATTATTAGTATTGTCTAGGGTCCAAAGTGTAATTAGTTTTACCTATATAAGGTGTATCAGATTATTATTATTTTTCAATCAATACAATCAATATCAAGTTTTATATGGTATCAGAGCCTAACCCTAAACCTAAAATCGATCCTTCTACCTAACCCTAAAATCGGCGGCCTTCAACCCTAATCTGTCGGCGCTGTCCCTTCAACCCTAATCTGCCGGCGCTGTTCCTTCAACCCTAATCTGCCGGTGCTGTTCCTTCAACCACTCATCTGCCGGCCGGCGCCCTTTAACCCTAACCCTACAATCGGCACTCTTCAATTCATCAACAATCTGCCGACGTTAAAGACACATCAACTCAGAATTCATGGCAGCTATAATCACCTTTTCACATCATAAGAAAACCATTCACAATTCACACATTCTCCTTCTCTCTCAAACCTACCAACTATGGCTATTGGCGTCCTATGATTGAAGCTTTTCTCACATCTCATAATCTCTTTGGTTATGTTGATGGAACAATACTGTGCCCTGATCAGAAAATCACCAACGAATCAGCAACCACCGACAATCCAAGCTACATTCCGTGGATCTCAAACGATGCCCACATTCGGATGCTTATCATCTCTACTGTGTCCGAAGATTCTTATCAACACATTCAGGGAAAAACATCACGTGAGGTATGGTTATCTCTTGAAAGAGCTTACGCCCCTGTTACAGCCTCTCATGAATTTACTCTCAAAACTCAATTGCTTAGAATCACCATGAAAGGTGATGAAAAACCGGCCGATTACCTAAGCAGGGTTCACGAATATGCCACTGCTCTAGCAAACACTGGAGAACCAATGAAGGACAAAGACCTAGTAATGCTAAYTATCGCAGGGCTTCGAGAGGAATACAATGTCATTAAAGGCAATTTACTAACCCGTTTACCTCCTGTTCGCTTCAATGAACTGCATGGTCTTTTGTGTGATCATGACTATGTTTTTACAAAGAACTTAACTCCACAAGCTTTCCTGGCCAACACTGCTCCAATACCCCAGCCACTAACGGCTGCTGCATCTTCGATTCAACAACCGAATCTCGATCAACTTCAGCAACAGCTCCAAAGCATTCAACTTGTGGCTTCTCAACTTGGTTATCAATTAAACCCCCTTCCCACCCCACGGGCTCAAGCATATTATGGTTCTCGGTCCTTCAACAATAACCGAGGTGGTCGAGGATCTCGTGGTTCTTCTTGTGGCAACTCACGTAGTGGTTTCAATAATCGCCCTCGGGATAGCAATGGCTCCAGACAGTTTTCTTGGGCTTCAATCCACAACACAGTCTATGGCCATTGCAACAGGTGTGGCATAGGTCATCTACAGTCTCAGTGCCCAAATCAGCCGAACCAGTCTCATCCTACACCACAGGCCAATTTTACATCACACTCAGAGGCTGGCTCATCTTCTGGTCCTACTTGGAAACCAGATATTGGTGCAACTCATCATGCCACACCAGACCTATCTAGCATGGATAACTCAGAGGCCTACTACGGTAACGATTCTAGACTTGTTGGTAACGGTAATTCTGTACCCATTTTTCACATTGGTTCATCCAAAATATACTCACCAAACAAAACCTTTACCCTAACCGACATTCTTCATGTTCCTCAAAAACAAAATCTTTTATCTGTTCAAAAATTTTGCCTTGATAACAATGTTTTCTTTGAATTTCACTCTTCTTATTTTGTTGTCAAGGACGAGTCTACTCGCACTACCCTCCTTACGGGCCCCAGTGAACATGTTTAAACTCCATTCGTCTTCCTCAACTCAAGTCTCTGCCGAAGGTTGCCTTCACTGCTGTTAAAGCTCCTTCGAACATTTGGCATCAGCATTTAGGACATCCTCATGCTCAAGTTTTTCATTCAATTGTTTCTTATTGTTCTTTACCCGTTTCAGACAAATTATCAAATACTTTATGTTCTTCTTGTCAATTGGGAAAATCTTCAAAG